CTAGAAATAAAAGGGACCTTCCTAAATTTGATAAAGGAAATCTGAAAAAAAAAGAAATCACAGTTAACATCATACTTAATAAAAGATTTCCACCCAAGATCAGAAAAATGATTATAATTACAACAGTGTCCAAAAACAATAAAGCACACTGGAATAAATTTAACCACGGAAAGAGAAGACTAAAACTTCAAAACACTGCTTAAAGAAATTAAAGAAAAAAATTTAAATAAATGGAATGTCAAGTTATGTTTGTGGATTAAAAGACTTAATATTGTTATGATGCAATATTCTCTAAGTCAATCTACTGATTTAATTAAATTGCTGTAAAAATTTCTGTTGCTCTTCTGGAAGGCAGAGGGGCAAAAAGAAAAGCATAAGGTGATTCTAAATCCATATGTAGTTTTAAGGGACCCCGAACAACAAAATGATCTTACCAGAGAACAAAGCTAGAGAAGAGTTCCAGATCTCAACACTCAATATAAAAACAACAGTAATCACAACAGAGTATTCAAACATAAAATTTACAAAAAGGTCAATGGAATAAAATTAAGCATCTAAAAATAAACCCATCACATCTATGGTCAATTATTCTTGAAAATAGCGCCAAGAACATTACATAGGAAAAGAACAGCATCTTCAACAAATGGGGGTAAGACAATTCATCTGGAGATTCACATGCAAAAAGACTGACTTGGGATCACTATTCTACACCGTATACAAATATTAACTCAAAATGTATCAAAGACTTAACTCTAGAACTAATACTTAAAAATTCTTTGCAAAAACAACTCTATGATTTCCTCCAGTAGAAGAAAACCTCCTAACTCATTCTAATTAGCCAGGACTGTCTGAATTCCAAAATCAGGGAGAGCATTAAAAGAAAAATTACATGGGCTGGGGCTGTGGTGTAGCAGGTAAAGCCACCACTTGCAGTGCCAGCAAACCTTTTGGGCACTAACAGTGGAAGATGCCCCTGCAGCCATGTGGGAGACCCGCATGAAACTCCTTGCTCTGGCTTGGTCCAACCCTAGCCATTGAAGCCAACTGAGGAGGGAACCAGTGGATGGAGGACCTCTCTGTTTCTCTCTCTGCCTCTCTCTAAACCTTTCAAAAAAAAAGTTAAAAAAAATTACACATCACTATCTTTCTTAACAATATGAAAGAATAAAATCCAACAATGTATACAGAAAAATGATACATCCTCTCCAAGCATGACTTGTCTGAAGTATTGAACATTTTTAATTTTTAAAATCAACATACACAAAAGTATATAGTCTTTGTATACAAAACCATTATCATGGATGAAAATGAACTTCAAAGATCAGTACTATTTACAACAGCTACAAAAAATTTCAATATCTTAAAATAAGTTTAACCAAGGAACTCTACAATGAAAATTATGAAACACTATAGAAATAGAAGACACACACACAGAAAAAATGGAGGCCAGCGCCGTGGCTCAATAGGCTAATCCTCCGCCTTGCGGCGCCGGCACACTGGGTTCTAGTCCCAGTCGGGCGCTGGATTCTGTCCTGGTTGCCGCTCTTCCAGGCCAGCTCTCTGCTGTGGCCAGGGAGTGCAGTGGAGGATGGCCCAAGTGCTTGGGCCCTGCACCCCATGGGAGACCAGGAAAAGCACCTGGCTCCTGGCTTCGGATCAGCACGATGCACCAGCCGCAGCGCGCTGGCCACAGCGGCCATTGGAGGGTGAACCAATGGCAAAAGGAAGACCTTTCTCTCTCTCTCTATCTACTCTGCCTGTCAAAAAAAAAAAAAAAAAAAAAAAAAAAAAGGAAAATCATCCATGTTCTTGGGTTGGAAGAATTAATATCATGAAAACGTCCATACTACCCAAAGCAAGTTACAAATTCAATGCTATTCCCTCCCCCCCCCCAAAAAAAAACACACAACAAATTCAATGCTATTCCAACTAAAACATCAAGCACATTCCTCTAACACACAACAAATTCAATGCTATTCCAACTAAAACATCAAGCACATTCCTCTAAGGTCTAGAAACAAACAATGCCAAAATTCCTGGGGAAACCTAAGAGACCCCAAATAGCTAAAGCAATCTATAACAACAAAAACAAAGCCAGAGGCATCATAATATCAGACTTCAGGACATACTACAGAGCAAATATAATCAAAACAGCCTGGTACTGGCACAAAAATAGACATGTAGACCAATGAAACTGAATAAAAATCTCAGAAATTAATACACACATCTATAAGCAACTCATTTTGACGAAAGATCTAAAATCAATCCCTGGAGTAAGGACAGTCTCTTCAAAAAATGGTGCTGTGATCAGAAGCAATGTAAAGATAGGTGGCAAGCCTATTAAAGGTGGCTCTGTACGGTGATCTGCCCTCAAAGAGACCCAACAGGCCAGTCCACTGAGTGGCTTTCAATGTGGTAAGCCAGGGCTTCAGCAGAAGTCAGTTTATGAAGAGCCCTGGCAGCTCTGCCAGCCAAGAGTCGGATCACCCAGAAATGGAACTGCCTTCGAGTCAAAGGATGCCCAGGTCAGAGCCACAGATCTCGCTGGCTGCAAGCTGAAGGGTCCTTCACTCGGCCCAGCTTCCAGAGTAACCAAGGCTACTGAGGGGACAGCCAAGTAGGGACAATAACATTGCAGGCAGAACAGTAAATTTCCCGTTAAAGATGCCACCTGCCTGTACCCGGCCAGGTTTCCTCCCAGGCCAGCTAAGTAATGGAAGTCAACAGGGTGCCTTCCCAAGGAGTTTCACACTTCCCTTATGATGGTACCCCATGTGAAGAGATAGGTAGGTCTGGGCCTCAAAGACATTGGCATAAACAAAGACTTCTTGGAAAAGACCCTGTAAACAAAGGCAATGAAACAAAAAAATACACAAATGGGATTACAGCAATGTAAGAAGCTTCTGCACTGCAAAGGAAACACTCAGCAAAGAGGCAACTGACAGAATGGGAGAAAATATTTACAAACTATACAGCTTATACAGGATTAATATCCAGGATATATAAAGAGCTCAGAACAACAAAACAAAGGCTAGAGTTGTAGCCGCAGCAGGTTATTCCTCTGCCTGCAATGCCAGCAAGTCTTAGGGGTGCCAGCTTGAGAATCAGTTGCTCCATTTCCAATGTAGCTCCCTGCTAATATGCCTGGGAAAGCAGCAGAAGATGGCCCACGTCCTTGGGCCCCATACCCAGGCAGGAAACCTGGAAAAAGCTCCAGGCTCCTAGCTTCACTCTGGCCAAGCCCAGCCATTGCAGCCATTTGGGGACTGAACCAGCAAACAGAAGATCTCTCTCTCTCTCTGTCTTACTCTCTGCAACTCTGCCTTTCAAATAAGTAAATCTTTAAAAAGTAAATAATGAAATAAATAAATTATTTAAAAAACATACATGCACACACAATACTCTGTTATTAACATCCAAGCGAGGAAATATATAGGTATAAATCTATCAAAAGCATTATGAGGAAAACTAAAAAACATTGGTGAAAGTAATCAAAGAATAAATAAAATAATATTCTATGTTTACAGATAACACGATTCTATATTTTCAAGATGTCAGTTCTTCCAAACTTGATGCATAGATGCAATGGACTCCTAAGCATACTTTTAGCAAGTCAAGCAAGAGAATGGCATGGTGGTTAAAGACACTGCTTGGGATACCTACATATGAAATTACAATGCCTATTTTTGAGTCCTTGCTCCCCTCCTGCTAATGTGCTCATTATGGGATTAAATCCATGTAACAGAAGTAAAGAGTGAACCCTAAAATAAACAATAGACCTTGTGTGATAATGTCTTCAGAAGTTCACTGACCGTAACCAATGTACCACTTTTGCAGAATACCAAGAGAAAAACTGTGTGGTAGCCAGGGAGAATATGGTAATTCTGTACTTTCTAACAATTCAATTTTTGTACGGACCTTAAACTGCTCTAGGGAATAATATCTACTTTTTAAAAATGGATAAGGATCTGAATAGACATTTTCCAAACAAGAGATACAAAGGATCAATAAGCTTGAAAAGATGGTCAACAGATCAATGCAGATTTTTAAAAACTACAAACAGAGATCATTTCAAATCAAGAGGTTCACTATGTTTTTTTAAAAATGTGAAGATATTGCAATGGTGAGAATGTAAAATAGGTTTGCCACTATGGGGACACTTTGGCAGTTTCTCAAAAATTTAAACACAGAATTACCATGACTCAACAACCCAAGAGAAATGGAAAACCTTCATTCACTGAAAATCTTCTTATACAAATGTTCATAGTACCATCATTAATAATAGGATAAAAGTAGAAACAATGCAATGTCCATGAGCCAATGATTTAAGTGTGGTATACACACACAAAGGAGTATTACTCAGCACAGAAAGAATGAGGTAACTTAAGCCACATATGGATAAGCCTTGAAAATATTATACTAGGTTAAAGCAACCAGTAACAAAGGTCACATATGAAATGTTTAGGACAGGCAAGTCCATAGATATAGCAATAGATCAGTGGTTACCAGGGCTGAGAAGAACAAGGGGAGTGAATGCTTAATGGTTTGGGGATTTCCTTTTGAAGTGATGAAAATATTATGGATTCAGGCAAAAGTGCTGGATATACAAAATGTGAATATACTACAGATTACTGGATTATATACCTTTAGATGGTTAAAATCAGGAATTTATATCCTAAGAGTTTTACCTCAGTTAAAAAAACAAACAAAAGTAATGAATTTCAACCCATTCAACAACATATAAATTAAGATAAACCAAAATAGTCCTTCTGATACTCTTATCTCCATGTGCTAAAAATCAACATCTAAAACTAGCCATCAGACATGAAATAATTTTTGAGTTCTGGCCACCACAAAGGAAATGAAGGGAAAAACTCTTATACTGAACTTAACAGTTAAGTAAGATATTCATCATCTTACTCACATGTGAGCAAGCCCGAGTAAGCTGAAAAGGGAATGCAAACACATTACCCCTGTCCCTGGGTACAGTGGTGACTCACCAAGCTTCTCTGGCTCATCGGGCCCCGTGCCTGCAATACAGCTGCTTTCCAAGCCATAGGTGGGATCCACCTTCCCAGAGACTCGTGCTGCTTCTTGTACTTTTTTGACATGAGCTTCAACCAATTCCAGCGGTACTTCCTCCCGCACCCGAGAAAATTCCTCTGATACAAGAATAAAAACAGAAAAATAATCTCATTTTGAACAAATATCTACTTCAAGGTAAAAGCAACAGGAAACGGGACAAAATATTATCACCTAGGATATATAGTGACCACCTTGGGTTCTCAGTAGCTTTACTAGCAAAAAAAGAAGGCCAGACAAAATAAAGGTTAATAGTAAAGAAATTCTATGATTCTAGGCTTTTTCCCTAAATGCCATAGTATCTTCCTACATGAGCAAAAGAGGTGTCTGAATTTCTAAACAATAACCAAAATTATAGTTCAAATTTCACCTAAATCTTGGCTCTCTATAGACTGATGATCAAAGAAACAGCAAGGACTAAAGAACCATAAAACCAGGAAGAGATGCATGGTACAAGAAGGCTCTATATTAAATGACTTTCTTTGTTGGTTATATCAAATTTAAAATGCGTCACGAAATATACCATACAAATAACTTTATATCCCACCAATTCTTAAAGTCCTTAATTTAAAAATTACTGTATTTAGATTGTTTCCTTTATTATGTCTTTTATAAAACACATGTTATTTGATTGGGTCCAGTCTGATTTTTCTGATGTTTGTATAAGCAAAATCTGAGTGCAAAGATAAAAACATTTAAATTTAAGATAAAGTGAGTTTCTATCTACAAGAGAAATGGCTTAGAAAGTCCATACCCAAAGCTGCTTTTGCTGCAGCAGATGCCACACGAGGGTCCACCACAGATGCCAAAAAAGCAACAGTACTCATGACTGGATTTCCTGACTGACTGAAGGGAACAGGCTGATAGGCCAGAGGACCAAGAGAAGCATCTGAATTTTCAAGATATGGGTCTTCAATGGGAAGCCTCAAAAAGTGAAGAATGCACTCATCCTGAGTGCGACTTCCAACATGTTCCGACACTTTGTTCCAATCATCTTTATACATCTCCAGAGCCTAAAATAGAGGGGAGGGGGAAAAAAACAAAAAACAAAAAACAAAAAACAAAAAACACAACAACCAGGAGCTTTAGTATAAGGGAACAAGTAGTAATATGTAACAACATCAAAAGCCTATGACTGTGATTTAGTTTTTTCTTTCTCTTAATAATGCAAAACGTCTTTTACTAATAAAGACATAATTATAAAGAAAATTCTATGAGAGCTACAGAAAATTTAATAGAACATCTGAGATACTTAAATGATAAAAGATCAATAGGAAAACAACTATATATACAGAAGTGGAATATTTTAAATGTTTAAAATATCCATGAAAATGAAATACATAGGAATAAATATAATACACTGTTTAAAAACAATATGATGGGGCCTGTGTTATACTGTAGCAGGTTAAGCCACCATCTGAGATGCCAGCATTTCTCATCAGAGTGCTAGTTTGACTCCCAGCTGCTATGCTTTCAATCCAACTAACTGCTAATGTGCTTAGGAAAGCAGAGGATGGCCCAAGTACGCGGGAACCTGGAAGGGATTCCTGGCATCTGGTGTAGGTCTGGCTCAGTCCTGGCTGTTGGGGCCATAAAGACGTGAACCGGCAAATGGAAGATTTTCTACTGCTTTCCCAGGTCATGGCAGAGAGCTGGATCAGAAGTGGAGCAGCTGGGACTTGAACTGGCACCCATGTGGGATGCCAGCACTGCAGGCAGCAGCTTTACCGACTATGCCACAGTGCTGGCCCCAACCCTGATAACCTTCCAGGGGGTCCCAGGCCTTCCCCCAAGGAAAGCTTCCAGGAGAATTCTTTCTCCTCAGACCAAATGGGTTACCTGACCTGCTAACATGGGGCAATAAAACCTTCACAGAGGCCCTAAGGGAAGCCTCTCTACTCTGCTTGGCATCAGCAAACCTGGGGAGAAATTTACCAATTTTTACCTAACAAACCCTTGTGCTAGGACTCCCCAACCTTTGTCCTGGGGGAGGGGGGGTGCATAAACAGACTCCCTTAAAAACTGAGAGTCTCGCATGCTCAGCCCTCTGCTCTGTTGAGCCGCTGGCCTGGCCTGCCCAGGTGTATTTTCTTCATTCAACCATGCAACCTCGCTTTCGTTCTCCCTATCCCTTCTTCCACTCTGATGGATGCCCTATCCCCAATAAAACCTTCTAATTTCACAAACAATTAAAAAACAAATAAAAATTACATAGGATGATTTCCGGTATTGCTGTTCAAGGAAAAGTATGTCAAGTGCATGTGTACTACAAGAAAACCTTTGTTGCTAATTACTGTGCACTGTCTAGAGCTATGATCTCTGTAATTCAGCCAACATGAAAAAAAGAAGTCATTTTCATAACGTACAAATGTAAACAACATGGATTTTATTTCAAAGAATAGTATTTTATACTCCCTAATTGTCTAAGGGTAAAAAAAGTACATGGCCCAAGACAGCAAAGAATATGGGATAAAACCCAAGTTAACAATGGAAAACCAGCAAGTATGCACTCAAGTCTTAGTTGTCTCAAGCTCAGGGGCAATAACAAATGACCATGAAAAACACTGTAATCAGCACTACCTATGAAAGGAACGGTGATAGCCACTTTCTAAAAAAAAAAATCCCCTAAATACTGTGAAATGGAGCCAGCACCAATATTTCCTCCATTAGGGCTCCCTGACATAATCAATGCAATCTGAAAATGCTTCAGGACCGACTTAGCCTTTCATTCTATCTGAGACTAATGAGGCATTTTCAGGTAAGACATCTGAAAACTCGTTGTTTAGCATTTTAGAGATTTATTCAGGGCCGGTGTTACGGCTTATCACGTAAAGTCACCACTTGCAGTGCTGGCATCCCAAATGGGCGCCAGTTGGAATCCCAGCTGTTTCACTTAGGATCCAGCTCTGTTATGGCCTACGAAAGCACTAGAAGAGGGCCCAAGTCTTTGGGACCCTGCACCCACATCGGAGACCTGGAAGAATCTCCTGACTTCTGACTTCGGATCAGCCCAGCTCCAGCCGTTGCAGCCATCTGGGGAGTGAATCAGAGGATGCCTCTCAAATAAAAAATAAATCTCTAAAAAAGCAAAAGATTTATTGATTCATTCCACAGGCGGAGGGTGGTGTTGCTCCCCCATTCACGGAGGAACGACACAGGACCCTGTGCTGTTCTTTTGTCTGCTCGGCCCTTCCAGGGTTTGCTGCTGGTCTTTCCAGGGTTGGCTACCAACCCCTCCACTTCCGTGGAGGGGCGGCTCCCCCTGCCACTTTCCCCACTTCCACGGAGGAGCGGCACACCGCCAGCCGGCTCTCTTGGGGGCTGCTCAGATGTTATCTGGATGTTCCTGGTGCATGTTGTCTCTCTCCTCCTTTATAGTCCTCTTCCACCAATCCATGCTAAGCTACCCACACGCCGAGCACGCTGCTCTCCTCCAATCAGGAGCAGGATCAGCTCCTGCAGCTCATCAGTCAAATTGGCAAGAGGCAGCTGTGGAGAAGTTGTTTGGTCTCTCTCTCAGCGCCATATTGTGGGAGAGCAGATGCACAGAATAAGTCTTAATTCCAGTAACTTAGTCTAGTCCGAGTTGCTCCCCACAGGTCGGGGGAAAGAAGGACATAAAGAGTGGGAACTTCCACCCCTTAGCTGACTCCCTAAATGGTAACAACAACTAGACTGGTCCAGGCCAAAGTCAGGAGTCCAGAACTCCATCCAGATCTCCCACAGGGGTGGCAGAGACTCAAGTGCTGTGTGATCCTCCATTGCCTTCCCAAGTACATCAGCAGGAAGCAGAATAGCCAGGGCTCAAACTGGCTGGTTCCTCCAGAAAACAACACAACAGAAGCCAGTACACAATCCAGGTTTCCTAATGTGGGTGGCAGGAACCCAATGACTTTGGCCATCAATTTTACCTCTTAGGGTCAGCACTAGCTAGGCTGGAGTAAGTTGCCAAGTATCACAGCCAAAGACTTCAATGTGGGCCTTGAGTGTCTTAAATGGCATAGTAACTCCTAGTTCACAGGCTACATGCTTTGACGGGAGTGAACCAGCAAATGGAAGACCTCTTTCTCTGCCTTTCAAATAAATAATCTTTAAAAATAGCAATAAAAAGTTAATATAGAATCTTACATTAATCCTTCATTTTTGGAATAGATCATTTCAAACTGCATTCTTTCATTCTTAGTTATCTGACAAATTGAAACTATGCCTCCAATACTTGTAATAAGAAAATGAAGTAAACGTGATTAAAGTTATTAACTTGCAGAGTCCACACAAGAACTGTACATTAAAAGATCTCATCAACCAATATTTTTTAGAAGACTTTATTTATTTATTTGAGAGGTAGAGTAACAGTGTGAGAGGGGGATACAGGGAGAAAGGTCTTCCTTCTGTGGGTTGACTCCCCAAATGGTTGCAAAGGCCGGAGCTGTGCTGAACTGAAGCCAGGAGCCAGGAGCTTCTTCTTGGTCTCCCATGTGGGTGCAGGGGCCCAAGCACTTGGGCCATCTTCTACTACTTTCCCAGGCCGTAGCAGAGAGCTGGATTGCAAGTGGAGCAGCCAGGTCTCGAACTGGTGCCCATATGGGATGGTGGTGCTTCAGGCCAGGGTGTTAAACCCCCTGTGCCACAGCGCCAGCCCCTCAAATAGTTATTAAAAAAACAGTGGTAGACCTGGTGTTGTAGTATAATGGGTAAAGCTGCCACCTGCGATGCCAGCCTCCAATATGAGTGCCGGTTTGAGCCTCGGCTGCTGCACGTCTGATTTAGCTCTCTGCTAAGGGCCTGGAAAGGCCGTTGAAGATAGCCCAAGTGCTTGGGTCCCAGCACCCACATGGGAGATCCAGAAGAAGCTTCTGGCTTCAGTCTGGCCCAGCCCTGGCCATTGTAGCCATTTCGGGAGTGAATTAGCAGAAGAAAAACAGATTGATCTCTCTGTCTCTCCACCAGACCCTTGGTAACTGAGCCTTTGAAATAAATAAAATAAATCTTTAAAAATAAATAAATAAATATAAGTAGGGCAGGCATTTCGTGTATCAGTTAAGAAACTGCTCGGGATCCCCAGATTCCAAATTGACAAGCCCTAAATTCATATCCCAGCCTACCAAATTCTAGCTTGCTGATGATGAACATCCTGAGATGTAGTCAATGATGGCTCAAGTACTTGGGTTCCTGCCACTCTTGAGAAAGACACTGGTTGAGTTCTAGCATCCTGGATTCAACTGGAGCAGCCCCACTTGTTATGGGCATTTGTAAAATGAATCAGTGGCTGGAATCCTTTTGAGGGTCAAGTAAGATGAAAACAAAATTTTTTAAAATAAATAAATAAAAATGGATGGTCTTCTGTCTGGCATTGTGGTGCAGCAGGTTAATTAAGCAACCACCTACAACACCGGCATCCCACATGCATACTAGCTTGAGTCCTGGCTGCCCCCTCTTCCCATCAGCTCCCTGGCTAATGCAGCTGAAAAAGCAGAAGACAGCCCAAACACTTGGGCCTCTGCACCCCGTTAGAGACCTGGATGGAGTTCCAAGCACCTGGCTTCAGCCTGACCCAGCCCTGCTGATGCTGCCACATGAGAAGTAAACCAGTAGATGGAAATCTCCCTCTCTCTAACTCTGCCTTTGAAATAAATGTAATCTTTACTAAAAAATATAAAGGAAGAACAATTGGGGAAAAAAAAAGTCTCAAGAACAATGAGAAGTATTTGTAAAGCAGCCTACGTGGTATATATGTCCAAGAAAATGTTATGAAACATTAAACATTATACAAACATTAAACTGCATTGATCCATTTAACAATGGAAAATGGAAATTCGTATTTAGTTATATATCGACAGAAAATCTTTCCTCTTCTATTAGTTGCTCTGAATAGACTATATAAATAGAAGATGGTAATGGTAAACAATCCTTTGTGAAAACCTTTTATTTCTCTTTGTGTTAATGCAGACAACACCTGCTGACTCAATTATATGGATGAAAGAAATAACCAATGCAAAGATTGCACCTGCAGCAAAGAAAAGGTACTACTGTGCAAGGGTGCTGAGGTCATCTTGGATATGTTAGGGTAAACAGTACGTCACACTCATTCTTACCTCATTTTGCATGTACATCATCTTAAATAGATAAAACTTTGAGCACCAAAAAGCAAGACAAAGAATTGCTGTTTCCAACCACTTCTATACAACTAAATTTCTCCCTAGACTGCATATTTGAAAAACAGCAAGACAAAAGCATGGAATATTCCCTTACACACACAAACACTACTACTCTTTTGATTTATTCAACCATGGCAGATGCGGCTGCACAAAACAGTTTGGAAACAATACAGAGTATGTCAGAAAGAACCTGTCTACATATCACTGATACTGAATGGGCAGAAGATAGTAAGTTAAAATGGGGAAGGAACCCAACAACAGGAAGAAATAATTTTGAATTTTGGTCATGAGGCAAATAGAAATAAAGAGGTGAGAGAATTTGAAAAGTAGAAGAGGAATATAAAAAAGTAAAGGAAATAACTTAATGCACCACCAAATCTTGTAAAAAAAAAAATACAGCAACAACTATTTGACCAACTTAAGAAATGAAACTGGGAGCTAGAGTTGTGGCACAGGAACTTAATCCACCATCTCCACAGCCAGCATTCTATATGGTGCTGATTCAGGTCCTAGCAGCTCCCTGTTAATGGCCTGGGAAAAGCAGAAAATGGCCTAAGTACTCAGGCCTCTGCACCCACATGGAGACCAGGATGAAACTCCTGTCTTACTCCTGGCCCAGTCCTAACCATTGCAGCAATGTAGGGAGTGAACGAGCGGATATAAAATCTCTCTCTGCCTTGACCTCTCCAAGTCTTTTAAATAAGCAAATAAGGCTGGCGCCTTGGCTCACTTAGCTAATCCTCTGCCTGCAGCGCCGGCACCCCAGGTTCTAGTCCCAGTTGGGGCACTGGGTACTAGTCCCGGTTGATCCTTTTTCAGTCTCTGCTGTGGCCTGGAAAAGCAGTGGAGGATGGCCCAAGTGCTTGGGTCCCTGCACCCGCATGGGAGACCGGGAGGAAGCACCTGGCTCCTGCTTCGGATCGGGGTAGCGCCAGCCGTAGCAGCCATTAGGGGAATGAACCAACAGAAGGAAGACCTTTCTCTCTGTCTCTCTCTCTTTCTATAACTCTACCTATCAAATATAAATAAATAAATAAATGTTTTTAAGAAAAAAGAGACCAAATTGAAGCAGTACAGAAACAAAAATGTCAACAGGCTCACAGAATTTCAAAGTGTGGTCTGGTGACCCAATAAGCACCAGGCTCTTTTAGGAAGAGTACAGGTCGAAGCCGGCGCCGTGGCTCAATAGGCTAATCCTCCACCTTGCGGCGCCGGCACACCGGGTTCTAGTCCCGGTTGGGGCGCCGGATTCTGTCCCGGTTGCCCCTCTTCCAGGCCAGCTCTCTGCTATGGCCAGGGAGTGCAGTGGAGGATGGCCCAGGTGCTTGGGCCCTGCACCCCATGGGAGACCAGGAAAAGCACCTGGCTCCTGGCTCCTGCCAGGATCAGCGCGGTGCGCCGGCTGCAGCGGCGGCCATTGGAGGGTGAACCAACGGCAAAGGAAGACCTTTCTCTCTGTCTCTCTCTCTCACTGTCCACTCTGCCTGTCAAAAAAAAAAAAAAAAAAAAAGGAAGAGTACAGGTCAATGTTCTTAATTACAGTGACATATTACTGGTTTTTTTTTTTTATTACGTTGATATTTGCAGTGATAGTCAAAAGCAGTGATCAGGGCCGGTGCTGTGGCACAGCAGATTGGGCCATAGCCTGCAGCATGGGCATTCCATATGGGTGCTGGTTCAAGTCCCTGCTGCTCCATTTCTGATCCAGCTCTCTTATATTGCACCTGTGAAGGCAGCAGAGGATGGTCTAAGTGCCTGGGCCCCTATACCCACGAAGGAAACCCAGAAGAAACTCCAAGCTGGTCATTGCAGCTATTTGAAGAGTGAAGCAGCAGATGGAAGAACTAAATGTCAAATATTAAAACACAATGGGGGCCAGCGCCACGGCTCAATAGGCTAATCCTCCACCTAGTGGCGCCAGCACACCGGGTTCTAGTCCCGGTCGGGGCGCCGGATTCTGTCCCGGTTGCCCCTCTTCCAGGCCAGCTCCCTGCTGTGGCCAGGGAGTGCAGTGGAGGATGGCCCAAGTCCTTGGGCCCTGCACCCCCTGGGAGACCAGGAGAAGCACCTGGCTCCTGGCTTTAGATCAGTGCAGTGCGCCGGCCGCAGTGTGCCGGCCATTGGAGGGTGAACCAACGGCAAAGGAAGACCTTTCTCTCTGTCTCTCTCTCTGTCTCACTGTCCACTCTGGCTGTCAAAAGAAAAACAAAAACAAAAAACACAATGGATGGGAGCTGGCACCGTGGCTCTCACTTGGCTAATCCTCCACCTGCGGTACTGACATCCCATATGGGCACCGGGTTCTAGTCCCGCTTGCTCTTCTTCTAGTCCAGCTCTCTGCTGTGGCCTGGGAGGGCAGTGAAGGATGGCCCAAGACCTTGGGCCCCTGCACACACATGGGAGACCAGGAAGAAGCACGTGACTCCTGGCTTCGGACCGGTCTATAACTCTATCTGTCAAATTTTAAAAAACAAAAACAAAAATCACAATGGATGGGACCGGCTCTGTGCCACAGTAGATTAAGCCTCTATCTGTGGTGCTGGCATCACACATGGGTACCGGTTGAGTCCTGGCTACTCCACTTCCAATCCAGCTCTCTGTTAACGGTGTGGGAAAGCAGTAAAGATGGCCCATGTCCTGGGGCCCCTGCAACCATGTGGGAGACCTGGAAGAAGCTCCTGGCTCCAGATTGGCCCAGCTCCAATTGCTGCAGCAATCTGGAGAGTGAACTGGTTGGTAGATGGAAGATCTTTGTCTCTCCCTTTCTAATTCTGTCTCTCAAATAGGTAAGCCTTAAAAAGAAAAAAAAAGAAAAAAAAAAAAAAAACCACCCACAATGGTTACCTAAAGGAAAGCATTTGAGTTGTAGGTTCAACTACAGACTTTCTTAAAATGAATAAAGAGGGGCCCGTGCTGTGGCATAGCGGGTAAAGTTGTCACACGCAGTGCTGACATTCTGTATGGTCGCCAGTTCAGGTCCCAGATGTTAGACTTCTGATCCAGCTCTCTGCTATGGCCTGGAAAACTGCAGAAGATAGCCCAAGCACTGAAGAATTACCTGGCCCCTGGCTTTAGATCAGTGCACCTCCAGACACAGCAGCCATTTGGGAAGTAAACTAGCAGATGGAAGATATCTCACTCTCTGCCTCTCTGTAAATCTGCCTTTCAAATAAATAAATAAATCTTTACATAAATAAGTAAATAAACACCAAAGAGATAATTTAGGGGTTGGGCTCTGTGGTGCAGTGGCCTGAAGTGCCTGCATCCCATATGGGCACCCGTTTGAGACTCAGTTGCACCACTTCTGATCCAGCTCTGCTGTGTGTGGCCAGGGAGAGCAGTGGCCTGGGAGAGCCCAGGTTCGTGGACCCCTGCACCTGCATGGGAGACCAGGAAGAAGCTCCTGACTCCTGGCTTTGGATCAGCTTAGCTCCAGATTAAATGCTTAAATTGTTTAAAATGCTAGTTAGAGAATCTTAGCCCATATTCCAAACCTGAGTGGCGAGGCTTCATCATTAAGTCCACTTACCTCCAACAGTAGCAATGTCTCCTGTTCTGTCCACTCTCTTCCAGCACTAGCACCTTTACTCTAAACAAACAGAATTATCAATCATTAGCTCAGTTTTAAAGACTGGATATGGACAGAGCTCAGCAGAATTCCTTTTTATAAAGTAGTCTTCCGGGGACAACTCTATGTAAACCACCAATTCAAGGCCCTAAACAACATGATTAAGAGAATTAAGGAACCCGAAAACAATGGCTTGTTTCAGAGATTTTTTCCTGTCAAGAAAGAAATGAACTTTGGATCTGTTATTTCTATTATTTTGGTATCCAAAATGTCTTCTTCAAGCACAGTGTTTAACGCATACCTTGAGTCAGTGATATAAACATAATGCATAAATTGGTCTAACTCAAGGAAAGTGCTTCTTTTGATATTCAAGCACAAGACATATTACATGTATAAAACAGCCTAACAGGATCTTGTTTCCAATTCGAGAGACCCACATTAACCAATTTTTAACAAATCTCAAAATAATCACGAAGTGATTCCCGAAATGCCAAATATCTTTCTTCCACATAATACCCCTACTGTTTATATGAGCATGGAGATTATCAAAAAGCTGAGTTTGAACTGTGTAAAAATTAAAATTTAACAACTGATTCATACCTCCTGATTTCTAGGCTCTCCTCCTCTCAGATAGAGGACTGGATTTGTGGTGTGTCTGGTAATATTCTATAGCTGAGAATGTTACTCATTCAAAATCTACCTTCTGAGGCCAGCACTACCATGTAGTAGGTTAACCCACCCCGTGTCGTTGAAATTTAAATCCTGGGGGCCTGTGCTGTGGTGTGGCAGGTAAAACCACTGCATGCAGTGCCAGCATCCCATATGGGCACTGGTTCAAGTCCCAGCTACTCCACTTCTGATCCAGCTCTCTGTTATGCCCTAGGAAAGCAGTGGAAGATGGACCAAGTCCTTGGGCCCCTGCACCTACGTCGGAGACCTGGAAGAAGCTCCTGGCTCCAGGCTTCAGAATGGCACAACTCTGGCATTGCAGTCATCTGGGGAGTGAACTAGTGGATGGAAGACCTCTCTGCCTCTCTGTTAACTCTGCCTTTCGAATAAATACATAAATAGGTAAACCTTAAAAAAATGTAAATCTAAGCACAGAACAAATGTCTTAAAATAGAGTTCGTGAGAGAAAAAAAAATACCTGTGATTTATAATATATTGCTCTGATCTCTTTGAGAATTACTTTAAGACAACCAAAGGTTCTATTAACAAACAGAATCATAGGTGGCCAGGAATTAGATTTGGGGCCTAGGAGGAACAAAGCTTATTATCATTTCATCTCAATTCTGAAGAATTCAAACTTGAGCAAAAACAGGGAAGATTTGTAGTAGGTCCTAAGCAACCTTTTCCTCACTTCATAAGCACAAGGTATAGGAAGAATATTCTCTAATTCCACTAGCTTGTAACTGTCTCATTAGAGCACATGAAATAAATATTTTGCTTGGGTTCTTCATGATTAAAAGAAACTCCATTGGCCGGCACCCCGGCTCACTAGGCTAATCCTCCGCCTTGCGGCGGCACACCAGGTTCTAGTCCCGGTCGGGGCGCCGGTTCTGTCCCGGTTGCCCCTCTTCCAGGCCAGCTCTCTGCTGTGGCCAGGGAGTGCAGTGGAGGACGGGCCAAGTGCTCGGGCCCTGCACCCCATGGGAGACCAGGAGAAGTACCTGGCTCCTGCCATCGGATCAGCGTGGTGTGCCGGCTGCAGCGCGCCAGCGGCAGCGGCCATTGGAGGGTGAACCAACGGCAAAGGAAGACCTTTCTCTTTGTCTCTCTCTCTCACTGTCCACTCTGCCTGTCAAAAAATAAAATAAAAAATAAAAAAACTCTGTTAATAAACACAAAAAATTCTATTTATTGAAATATCCTACAGAGACATAACAAAATAGACAAGATTTAGTGAGAAGTTTGACAGTGTAATTTACATGAGGGGCCTAGACAAAGTTCATGGAAAGTACATTATTATGCAAAAACTACACATAACTTTCGAAATTTTTTCTACCAAAAATAAATGTCAATAAATTCCATTTTCTCATAAACTTTTTTTTAAAGATTAATTTACTTATTTGAAATAAAGAGACTCACAGGGTGGGTGCTCTTTACAACATGGGTAGAAAATGTCTTACTTTTCTCTTTCACTAACGAATAGTATCTTCTGCCATCTCTTCTACATCACACTGGCTATAGGTTTATCAAACTTACTGATGTTTAAAACAATCATCTCTTACTCCATTAATTTTCTCCACTACTTTTCTGTTTGTTTCTGCTTTCTATGTTGAAATCAGCAAGCTTAACTTATTTCACACATATGAAATAATTTTTTTTAACAGGCAGAATTAGACAGCGAGAGAGACAGAGAGAAAGGTCTTCCTTCTGTTGTTTCACCCCCCCAAATGGCCTCCACAGCCGGCCCACTGCGCCAACCTGAAGCCAGGAGCCAGGTGCTTCCTCCTGGTCTCCCATGCGGGTGCAGGGCCCAAGGATTTGGGCCATCCTCCACTGCCTTCCCGGGCCACAGCAGAGAGCTGGACTGGAAGAGGAGCAACCGGGACAGAACCCGACCCCAACCGGGACTAGAACCTGGGATGCCAGCGCCTCAGCTGGAGGATTAGCCTAGTGAGCCACGGCGCCGGCCTGAAATCACTTTTTACATATTGTTTTTATCAAGCCTGGTACTGTGGCATAGCAGGTAAAGCCATTGCCTATGGTGCCAGCATCCAATATGTTCAAATCCCGTCTGCTCTTCTTCCGATCCAGCTGCCTGCTATGGCCTGGAAAAGCAGCAGAAGACAACCCAAGTGCTTGGGCCCATGAACCCATGTGGGAAACCTAAAAGAAGCTCCTGGCTGCTGGATTCAGACTGGTCAAGGTCTGGCCATTGCAGCCAATTGGGGAGTGAATCAGTGCTGGAAGAGCTGTCTTTCTGTCTCTCCCTCTTTCAGTCTGTAACTCTGCCTATGAAATATATAAATCTTTTAAAAAACTTTTTATCTCTATTATTTCCTCATTAGATACCTTAAAATAATTGAAATATTGACTTACAATATTTATTTCTAATTTCTAACACTGAACCTTCAAGTAATATTTCAGCCCTACAGTAAATCACAAGAACTGTAATACAGAACACACATATTGCCATGTCCTATTGCTGTCTTTTGTGCTAAGGCTGGTCTTAAACATCTGTTCACTAGATACATAGTCAAGCCAAAGCCAGGAGCCCAGAACTCAATCCAGGTCTCCACATGGATGGCAGGAACCCAAGCAATGGAACCATCATCAGTTGCCTACCAGGGTGTGCATTAACAGGAAGCTGGATTGCAAGTGAAGAAGCCAGGATTCTAACAATGCACTGATCCAGGATGTGTCTTAACTGCTGTACCTAATTACCACTCCAAAAATGTCTCTTAAACTAATTCACATGTCTTTATCTTATGTAGATCTAGTCAGCTACCAAAATGCTCTGTTAGATTAGTTTCTTTGAATTTGTATTTTTTCATGTTTCTAAATAATACAAATTTTATAACAATACAACTCAATTTAATTTCCTTCTGCCTTTTTGTGATTTTTGTAGTCCCAACAATATTATTGTTTAAATAGTATCTATTACTCAGTACTTAACTGCATATACACCCTCTGCTGTGTTCCTTATTCCTCTGTGGAGTCATTTGGTCCCATTTACATTCACAACCTTCATTAATTTTGAAGAATTTGCTTTCATTTTATTACTATATGTCCTACTGCTAAGTTCTCCATTTTTTGAGTCTTCAAACATCTTTATTGCACCTAGAATAAAGAAGTCCAAGTACAGCTTTTCTTTCCATCACTATAAAATATTACTCCTTTTTTCCTCTGACCTATATTACTTACATTTATAAAAAGTCAGCCATTGGGACCCAGCACTGTGGTATAGCAGGTAAAGCCACCACTTGCAATGCCATCATCTCAAACGAATGAAAATTCATATCCTGGCTGTTCTACTTCCAATCAATCTCCCTGCTAGTAGCCTGAAAAAGCAGTGGGAAATGGCTCAAGTGCTTGGGCCCTTGTCCCCAACGTGGGAAACCTGGATGAAGCTTCCTCCTGAACTAGTGGATGGAAGATGTGTGTTGTTCATGTTTATGTGTGTGTCTATTCCTCCCTATAACTCTGTAACTCTTTCAAATAAATAAGTCAATCTTCAGAAAGGAAGGGAGGAGCCATCAGCATCACTATTATTTCTTTGACTATTTTGTATCCTCCTACCCTACAATGTCATTGACTGTCTTTAAGGTGTTAGTTTTTAACACATTAAGTGTAATATAGCTACATGTGGTTTATTCCATAATCAAATTTGAATCTGTTCTCTTTTTCTTAGAGTTGGTATGTTTTCATTAGTTCTGGAAGTTATTTGGCCATAATATCTTCAAACATTCTATACTTTCTGTTCTATTTCTATTCTATTGTTTGTCTTTCCATGACTCTACTGGTCAGGATTAATTCTTTTCACTGTATCTCAAATGTCTCTTGCACTCTGTTCTCTATGTTCTGGTGTCTTTATACTGCTTTCAAACTTCTTTTTTTATTGGTGTCTCTTTGAGTTCAAACTTTTCTACTGTGTCCAGTCTGCTGTTACCAAGGAGATTACTCTACATCTACTTTTCAATTCCAGAATAATCATGATTCTTTTTATACATTGCCATACTCTGTTGACTTTCCCAAATATATTATTCATAGCTATTTTAAAATAACTATTTGCTGACCATACGTAAGAAAATTCAGATACAGAATTATTGTCTTAGGAACTGCCAGCAGATCTGAGTAGAAAGCTCATTTCTTCTTACCATAGAAAGTAAACAGGGAGTCAAGCATTGTGGCACAGCAGATTAAAGTGCAGCAGGTTAAGCCACCCCTTGCAACACTGGCTTCCCACACCTGACTGCTGATTTGAATTCTGGCTGCTCAACTTCCACACCCACTCTGTACTAAAGCACCTGGGAAAGAAATAGAAGATGGCCCAAGTACTTGGTCCCCAGCTACATATATGGGACACCAAGATGGAAGTTTCAGGCTCCTGGCTTGAGCCTGACACACTCCGGGCCATTTGGGGAGTTAACTAGCAAACCAATACCTCATTCTGGTGTGTGTGCTTCCTCTTTCTTTCTTCCTGTCACTACCCTTCAAAAAACTAAATCTTCAAAACAGAGACAGAGAGTAAATTACTTCCTGAGGAAAATGAAGCATCTTAGAAAAGCAATGACATTCTAGACCAGAAGCCATGTGCTGCATTCAGAAAAATTTCCTAGGGCTGGTGCTATGGCATAGCAGGTAAAGCTGCCGCCAGCAGTGCCAGCATTCCATATGGGCACCGGTTCAAGACCCAGCTGCTCCACTTTGAATCCAGCTCTCTGCTATAGCCGGTGAAATCAACAGAAGATGGCCCAAGTCCTTGGGTTCCTGCACCCACTTGGGAGACTCAGAATAAACAATAGGCTCTTGGCTTTGGATCAGTCCAGCTTCAGCCAATGTGGCCACTTGGGTAGAGAACCAGTGGAAGGAAGCATTTTCTCTCTGCCTCTGACTCTCTGTAACTCTGCCTTTCAAATAAATAAATATTTTTTTAAAGAAGTATTTGATTTATTTGAAAGGGTTACAGAGAGAGGTAGTGACAGAGAGAAAGGTCTTCGATCTGCTGGTTCACTCCCCAGATGGCTCCAACAGCCGGAGCTGCACCAATCTAAAGCCAGAAGCCAGGAGCTTCTTCCAGGCACCCACGTGGGTGCAGGGGCCCAAGGGCTAGGGCCATCTTCCACTGCTTTCCCAGGCCACAGCAGAGAGCTGGATCGAAGTGGAGTAGCCAGTACTAGAACCGGCACCCACGTGGGATGCCAGTGCTTCAGGCCAGGGCAATAACCTGCTGCACCACAGCGCTGGCCCCAAAATAAATATATCTTTAAAAAAAATTGTCCTTACCTTTGCTAATGTTTTCTTGGAGTAAATATCAGTGCGAAGGCCAAAGTTCTGCAAATCAATTGGTTTTTCTTTGTTTTTCTCAGGAAAATTTAACATCTGCTGAGCCGCAGGGACCTATGAATAAGAAAAATGATAAATGGTTGTATTAACCTCCTAAAAGTCAAGGGGATTTAAGTTGTTAAAATGTTGTTTAATATTAGCAATTAAACCACTCTTGGTAGATTTGCTACAAAACAAACAGCCGCCAAGAAAACCACAAATACCCACAAATGCACACTAAACTTCTTTAATCACAGAGACAACAGGAAACAATACATTTTCTTTAGTATGATCTTTCATAGGCTAGCACTGTGGCACAGTGGGTTAGGGCCACAGTCTGAAGTGCCAGCATCCTACCAGTTCGAGTTCTAGCCCTCCCAATTCTGATCCAGATCCCTCTTAATGTGAGAAAGCAATAGAGGGTGACCCAAGTCCTTAGGCCCCTGCACCCATGTGAGAGACCTGAAGAAGCTCCTGGCCTTGGCTGTGGTGATCATCTGGAAAGTGAACTAGTGGATGGATGCTCTTTCTCTCTGTATCCCTCTAACTCTGCCTTTATTTTAAATATATAAAGAAATCTTTTTTTCTTAAAATATTTATTTATTTTTCTTGAAAGGAGAGTTACAGAGAGGCAGAGATAGATCTTCCATCCGTTGGTTCACTACCCAGATGCCTGCAACAGCTGGAGCTGCACCGATCCAAAGCCAGGGGCTAAGAGTGTCTTCCAGGTCTCCCACATGAGTGCAGGGGTCCAAATACTTCGGACACTTTTATTGCTCTCCCAAGCCACAGCAGAAAGCTTGATGTGAAGTGGAGCAGCTGGGACTCGAACCGGCACCCATGTGGGATGCCAGCACTGCGGGTGGCAGCCTCACCTGCTACACCACAGCAACAGCCCCAAATAAATCAATCTTAAAAAAAAAATCTTTTATTTCAAATTGAAGGTAAAACTGTAGCTTAGCTTCCAATGTAAGGCTACATACAACTTGTTTGGTATAATAATCTGTGCAATTGTGCATCTACTGATAAGTACTTTCCAAATCTTTGGTCTAGATATGAAGATTTTTATAATCCATATTTCGAAGTCCTAGACTGAAGACAAGATATTTTTGTTATCTGCTTGCTTATCCATGTCTGATAACAGAAGGGTAAAGAAGTTATGGGGATTAAAGTAAGTCAGTAATGTGACAGGCTAAGGCATAGTTTTGGGCCTCATGAGGCAGTATTGTGAACATATTCTAATGGACAATAGGAAAAAAACCCACATGCAAACAAAAGCTATCAGCTAAGAAAAACACACTATGACTTAACCATGATTATTTCTGAACATGAATGCTGTGAACTGCTATCTGTTAAGTCGGGACCAAAGGAATTTACCTGAGGTGAACGAAGATGCAGAGGCACAAGCCCAGAGGGGGTGTCAGCTAATACATTGAAATGAGGGGTGGGAGGAGGCCCCATTGCCATGGGTCGGCTTTCTGGATCAACTTGGTAATTAACGAGTCCCCACTGCTCTAAAAAGGCATGAACCCTAAAGAAAGAAAATCTCTGACAGTTACAATTTAGAGAATCAACCTTATCTTCTCTATAACCATCACTAAGATCATCATAAAAAAAGTTAAAATGCATTCTGCAGATTGTGAACCACCACCAAGTACTTGACAAATCTGGTTTGTTACATGATGAACAATTTCTACGTATCTCAAATAATGTTGGGAATACAACAGCTGTAAACATAGTACACAGTCTAATATTTTTATTCACAGTAATAAAGAGAAAATATGCTCATTTAGGTCATTAGTGAAAAAAATTAACACCTAATAGTCACAGAAATTCACATTATGGATGTTGTCTTAGGCAGATTTACAGGACAGAGCTTATCTATTGCCCACTCAACCCTCTCAGCTCCTTGTCATTTTACAACTTGACTGTAAAACTGAAGATGTAAACTGCACAATCTGGGAAACTGAGACACAATAACCTGCTGCTTCTGACAACAGCATCCACTACAGAGTGCTCACTGGTGTGAGTACTGGCTGTTCAGCTTCTGATCCAGCTTCCTGCTAACGTGCAAAGAAGACAGCGAATGATGGCCCCATTATTTGAGACCTACCCACCAATGGGGAGATCTGAATGGAGTTCTAACTCCTTACTTCAGCCTGGGTCAGCCCCAGCAGTTGGGGCCATCTGGAGAGTGAACGAGCAGATATAAAATCTGGCTCTTCTGTCACACTGCCTTTAAAATAAACAAAACAGAACTTTTAAAAAAAGAAAAGCATACACACACACACACACACACACACACACGATTTAGGTAGTTCATTAATCAAGAAAATATCCAGTTTTATGAAACATTAACAGCAATGAATAAGTAACTACCTGTAGTGACCAGTCTGAAAAAAAGCCAGAATTATACCTCATCACAGCACACACATCTCCAGTCAAGTTCCTCCGACAAGCAGTGCTGGTTAAATACTCTTGGGGATTTAGGCGGTATGTGTCGATCATAAAATTTCGATATGCCAAGTAGCTAAAAAGCAAGGGCACAATTTATAAGATGGAAATAAAAATCCAACAAACAACAGGGATAATGTATTGAGTATTCACAGTTAGAAATGAAATAAAAATCTCTAATAAGCAAAGCAACTATTTACTAATATTTAACAGATATCCGACATTAGCATGAGGTTATGTAAGTACAAACTTGGTCATGAAGCTGAAAAGGTAAATTCATTGTTGCCTGCAAAATTTACAACTAGCATATAATTCATTTACTGTGTGCCACTGTTCTAAGCAAAGCCCATGCAACAGCTCAATAAAGCCCCACGGCCGGCGCCACAGCTCAATAGGCCAATCCTCCGCCTGCAGCGCCGGCACACCAGGTTCTAGTCCCGGTTGGGGCGCCAGTTCTGTCCAGGTTGCCCCTCTTCCAGGCCAGCTCTCTGCTATGGTCTAGGAGTGCAGTGGAGGATGGCCCAAGTCCTTGGGCCCTGCACCCGCATGGGAGACCAGGAGAAGCACCTGGCTCCTGGCTTTGAGCTTTGGATCAGCGTGATGCGCTGGCTGCAGCGTGCCGGCCGCAGCGGCCATTGGAGGGTGAACCAACGGTAAAGGAAGACCTTTCTCTCTGTCTCTCTCTCTCTCACTGTCCACTCTGCCTGTCAAAAAATAAAATAAAATATAAAGCCCCACAATCTATTAGGTGGCGTTTATTTCCTTCCCATTTATGGATGAGAAACTAAACCAGAGTGGTTAAAAGAGTTGTTCTAGATCACAGCGTTGGTATGTGGCGCAGCAAGACTGGAACACAGGCAATGTGTATGCTTTTAACCTCTGCTGCAGCTCATTCTACAGCTCCCTAGAACCACATGAAGCTCTCCCTCTGGCAATGACTTTTCATGGTATATATTCTCCTAGCAGTTCAGGCAGACCCCAGCTAGCTAACAAGGATAATCCATGAGCCATACACAAAAGTGAAACGAATAGACACCAAAAAGGGGAGAAAAACTGAGTCAGCAGATTCTACAATGTGCCCAAACATTTTCACCACAAAATATTTTAAAAACAAAAGTAAAAGGATCTTGGGCTATAGCAGAAGTTCTTAGCATCAAGTAAACGAAAGTATGGAAACTTGAAATCACTTTCATAACAGTAAAAAAAAAAAAAAAAAAAAAAAAACACTGTTCACCAAGACTCTGGAATACACACAAGTGGGTGTGTATGAATGTGGGTGTGTATGAATGGGTGTGTGAATGGTGGAAGCAAGGTGAAATTAGAAAGCCATAGGGGTTAACCTGCTAAACTGTGCTTTTAAATAGCAGGTAACCAAAAACCTTAGGTATTTAGAAATGCTAGGAATAGACAACATAACTAGAAAACTATCAGGACTGCTTAAGCCAACTGTGTGATTCCAGTTTGAAGTCAATCCTTAACATTTTCTGATGGGAATTCTGGGAATTCTGAAATTTATCTTTGACATCTAACCTGAAAATTGCAAAGTACCACAGATATGCTACCATTAGATAATATTTGCTTGGTATTCAATTTTCTGTGTCATACCACAATATTTCATGTGTAAAATTACAGAAGTCACATTTTCCTTACTTTGAGCATGGGACATCTATCCGTGCATTCACATATATACAAAAACAGGCAATATGAAGGGTATTTATAGTATGACAGGGATGGACTCATTTTAGGGCAAAAGATTTACAAATATATATATACTGAGAGGTCACCAAAAAGATAAAAATCCTTTCAGACAAACCTCTAACTTCTAAGAAAATTTTTTCTGTTTCCAATAAAAAAGCATATGTAGTTAAGTTCATGTAGCTATTGTGTAAGTTAAATCACATTCATTTAATTGAGAGTCATTCATCAGGTTGGTAACATAATGATTTCATTTTCTCATGGATTATTATGGATAAATACAAACAATCCATAACACATATGCACACATAAGGTGAGAGCTGTTAGGAGAAACCTGAATTCATTTCAGTAAATATCCACTAGAAAATTTAATTTAACTCCATGAGCTCATATACATATAATTCAAGATTGAAGCAAAACACACACACACACGATACAGCTTCCACTAAAGCAAAGAATTCTGAAAAATGAGACATGAACATAGTTCTTAGTGCAATATTTGTAAGCTTCCAAAAACCAGCAGCAATAAAATCATTAGAGTACACTTTCAGAACCTTTGCCACGCACACCCAAATCAGCAAGTTTTCTAAAACACTGGCCTCACATTTCTGGTGTCTTGGATTTGTTCTTTCCATTGAAAAACTCAGGAAGGGCACGCCGCTCAATCACATGAATACTGAAAGAGATGAAAAACATCAGTGTCTTCTTCAGGAGAAAACAAAATTTTAGAATATGAACTAATTTTTCAATTTTCGGAATAAACTCATAAATCCAAAACCTGAAAACAGCTTGACAGACTTAGCTTACACAACTTCCTGTTTACTGACAGCTACACTAGCTTTCCCTTTCTCTCTCCCAATGCTTTTGTTTTAAGAGCACTTAAAAGTTTTTTTTTGTTTGTTTGTTTTTTTTAGGATTTGTTTATTTACTTGAAAGGCAGAGTTTCCAGAGAACCAGAGCCAGAGCCAGAGAGAGAAAGAGAGAGAGAGGTCCTCCATCTGTTGGTTCACTCCCCAAATGACTACAACAGGAGGACCTAGACCAATCCAAAGCCAGGAGCCAGGAGCTTCCTCTGGGTCGCCCACACCGGTGCAGGAGCTCAAGGAATTGGTCCATCTTCCACTGCTTTCCCAGGCCATAGCAGAGAGCTGGATTGGAAATGGAGCAGCTAGGACTCAAGCTGGCACCCATATGGGATGCAAACAAGGCAGGCAGCAGCTTTACCCGCTACACCACAGTGCTGGCCCCCATTCCCAACACTAATTGCAGTTTTCCTAATCTCATCAGCAAGCTCAAAAATTTCTATCAGGGCCAGCGCTGTGGCGCAGTGGGTTAAAGCCCTGCCCTGAAGCACTGGCATCCCAAACGGGCACCGGTTCAAGACCTATCTGCTCCACTTCCATCCAGCTCTCTGCTATGTCCTGGTAAAGCAGTAGAAGATGGCCCAAGTCCTTGGGCCCCTGCACCAGCATGGGAGACCCAGAAGAAGCTCCAGACTCCTGGCCTTGGTTCAGTGCAGCTCTGACTGTTGCAGCCAACTGGGGAGTGAGCCATCGGATGGAAGACCCCTCTCTCTCTCTCTCTCTCTCTGCCTCTCCTTCTCTCTCTGTGTAACTCTGCCATACAAATAAATAAATAAATCTTAAAAAAAAATTCTATCATCATGTTGAAAGCTGCATACTTTATTGCTGTCTTGTCATAACAAATTGTGACTAACATGAGACAAGATAAAATAAGTTCTTTGGAAATTGGCTGACATAAAAAATCAGAATAATCAATAAGGCAAAAAAGTGATAAAGTTAACAGCACAAATTTTGACATACAAAAGCAATCACATACATTACAGTTTTTCTGTAACCTATAAAATCCTACATAGTTATGTACTCTTAGAGCTTTTGCTTATTAATTTTGGATGAAAATAATGCTAGCTACTTGCTGTGTCTTCTTAAGATATTCTGCTAGCTTGTTTTGGTTTTTAAAAGCAATTAAAAAGCTTAACATGTGAATAAACATTAGAATTTGCTTAATGAGAGGAAAAATGTGGTCAGCTGAAAAAAAATTTCATGAAAATCACATAAATATCAGTCTATTTGAAAGCAAAACCAAAAGTGTGAGTTTTAAATGTCTGTTAGTTGTGTAAAAGAAGATAAAAATGACAAGACTAAAACACTTCTGAATTTAAAAAATATGTTCAATGTAATCAAAATCGATTTTCAAAGAAGAGCTCTATACCTATTCTGTTCCATCTTCTATTTATTCAAAACCTTTGGGAACCATATTTGTTTAGGTTAAAGGCAAACAAAAAGTCTCAATACATGAGCCACGAAAACAAAGCCTGGCATAAATGAGCCATCCTTCACACGCAATCCCCACCCCAAAAAACAAAAAAAGAACCATCTTCTATCCTTTTAAATTATTTCCAAAAACTCCGTGTGTGTGTGTGTGTGTGTGTGTGTGTGTATAATAGAATGTATCTTAAAGAATGATAACATTTAAGAATGAAGAGCAGACAAAATATCTGAAAAAAAAAAATTTGAGTAATGGCAGTTGCACTGGAGTTAACTATAGAACCATCTCACAGACTTAAGACCTATTTGAGGGAGTAAGTTCTGGTACTTTTAATTAAAAATTTAAAATCTTTGGGACAGTGTTGTGGTGCAGCAGGTAAAGCTGACTCTACATATGTCAGCATCTCATAATACAGGCTGCTTGAAGTCCAGGTTACTCAGCTTCCGATCCAGGTTCCCCCAAATCTGCCTGGGAAAACAACAGAAGATGGCCCAAATACATGAGTCCTAGCCACTCATTCGGAAAATCTGGATTGAGTTCCAGACTCCTGGATCCAGCCTGGACTACACCTGGCTATTGTGGTCACTTGGGAAGTGAAGCAGAAGATGGAAGATCTCTCTCATTCACTGCCTCTGAAACAAACAAACGGATCTTGAAAAAAAAAAAAAAATCACTAAATTCAGCTTGATGTGAAATAATGATACCTCCTAAGCAATAAATTAGGTAAGGTATCTAGGACTCCTTCCAAGCATGCTCCCAAAATGCCACAGTGATTCCTATACATAACAGGGAAGATGATAAGGAGGTTAGGTTTTGCTGAACATTTTTTTTTTTTTTTTGAGAGGTAGAATTATAGACAGTGAGAGAGAGACAGAGAGAAAAGTCTTCCTTCCGTTGGTTCACCCCCCAAATGGCTGCTACGGCTGGAACTGTGCCGATCCGAAGCCAGGAGCCAGGTGCTTCCTCCTGGTCTCCCACGCGAGTGCAGGGGTCCAAGCACTTGGGCCATCCTCTACTGCCTCCCAGGGCCACAGCAGAGAGCTGAACTGGAAGAGGAGCAACTGGGACTAGAACCCGGCGCCCATATGGGATGGCGGCACCGCAGCGGAGGATTAACTAAGTGAGCCACTGCGCCGGCCCCTCTTGAACACTTTTAACATGCCAGGATTTATATTTCAAAAGCCTCCTAGTATTAAAATGTTTTTGGGGTACAGCACTGTGGGGCATCGTGTTAAGGCCCTGGCCATACGGATGTTGACTTGCGTCCTGGCTGCTCCACTTCCAAACCACCTCCCTTGCTAGTGTGACTGGGACAGCAGTGGAGGATGACCTAAGACTTTAGGCCCTTGCACCCATGTGGGAGACCTGGAAGAAGCTCCTGGCTCCTGCCTTCAGTCTGGCCCAGCTCTGGTCAATGTGGCCATCTGGGAGGGAACTGCTGGATGAATCTCACCTCTCTCTGTAATGCTACCTTTCTTTTATATATATATATATGGTTTCATATATTTATTCAAAAGTCAAAGTTACAGAGAGGCAGAGACAGAAAGAAAAAAAGAAAGAGAAAGGGTCTTCCATCCACTGCTTCACTCAACAAATGGCAACAATGGATGGAACTGGGCCAGTCTGAAGCGAGGATCCTGGAGCTTCTTCCAGGTCTCCCATGCGGGTCTAGGGGCCCAAGCACTTGGGCCATCTTTTACTGCTTTCACAGGTCACAGCAGAAAGCTGGATCAGAAGTAGAGCAGCTGGGACTCAAACTGGCAACCATATGGGCTTGCCAGCAAGGCAACTAGAGGATCCACCTGCTATGCCACCACACAAGACCATAATTCTACTTTTCAAATAAATAAAATCTTTTAAAAAAAATGTTTTCTCCTAAAATGAAACTACCATTGGGTAGCGGGAATTTTTTATTTATATATTTCACATTTAAAAATCATATGACAGGGGCTGGTGCCATGGCTCAGTAGGTTAATCCTCTGCCTGCGGCACCGGCAAACCATATGGGCAACCATTCCAGTCCCGGCTGCTCCTCTTCCACTGTAGCTCTCTGCTGTGGTCTAGAAAAGCAGTAGAAGATGGTTCAAGTCCTTGGGCCTCTGCACCCCCATGGGAGACCAGGAAGAAGCTCCTGGCTCCTGGCTTTGGATAGCCACAGCTTCAGCCAATGTGGTCACTTGGGGAGTGAACCAAGGGAGGGAAGACCTTCTCTGTCTCTCCCTTTCACTGTCTATAACTCTACCTCTCAAATAAATAAAAAAAATTTTTAAAAAAATAAAAATCATGGCAAATGTCAATATTTTATAATTATTAAATACTCAAAAATTTACCCGTCTGATTTACAATAGATTCAGTTAGGTTAAAACTTACCCATTCATATGACCCTAAATTACAACACAATTGTGCTTCCACCTATAAACTGTTTCAAAGAATACATTTTATTTTTTTAAAGATTTATTTATTTTGAAAGGCAGAGATAAGAGGGAATACATTTTAAGGGGAAAATTATCTTTCCATTTCCTTTCAACCAGCAAGAATTATTGACATTAAACTTGGATAGAATGCAACAATGTATTTTCAAGGACACTTTTCCAACGCCTCAGTACCATGCTCAGAGAAGGAGGAGTTTACTCACCAGTTGTAATCAAACCATGATGCATAGCTAGGAATAATGATGTGATTGGTCTGCTCTGTTACATTATCTTCACCAGGGTCAACCGACCGACTTGGATCACCTTTGCTAGGATCTTCATCTTCCTATAGAAAAGAAACCAGAATTCAGACATAAACACAATCACAGGTACAAACATAACAGCTCTCACACTGCTGATACTACATTGAATAAAATGAAGCAACTTAACTGAATTTAAAATACCAGGAAACAAATTACCAATTAAAATAGCCTTCCACAATTTTTAAAGTACAATAAGGATGGCTGGCATAGAGTGTACTTCTCTTCTTCATATATGACGGAAGCGACTTAGAATAGGTACTTATTAGAAAGATTAACTAGAAACTTACTTGAAAGCTGTTTCTAGGCCGGCGCCGTGGCTCACTAGGCTAATCCTCTGCCTAGCGGCGCCGGCACACCGGGTTCTAGTCCCGGTTGGGGCGCCGGATTCTGTCCCGGTTGCCCCTCTTCCAGGCCAGCTCTCTGCTGTGGCCAGGGAAGTGCAGTGGAGGATGGCCCAGGTGCTTGGGCCCTGCACCCCATGGGAGACCAGGAAAAGCACCTGGCTCCTGGCTCCTGCCATCGGATCAGCGCGGTGCACCTGCCGCAGCGCGCCGGCCGCGGCGGCCATTGGAGGGTGAACCAACGGCAAAGGAAGACTTTTCTCCCTGTCTCTCTCTCTCTCACTGTCCACTCTGCCTGTCAAAAAAAAAAAAAAAAAAAAAAAAAAGCTGTCTCTATAATCAGGAATACACATAGTCCAAATAAATTCTTTCTACAAAAGATTGTGGGCCCAAGGATTTGGGCCATCCTCTACTGCTTTCCCAGGGCCTTAGGAGAGAGCTGGATCAGAAGTGGAGCAGCCAGGACTTGAACAGGCGCCCACATGGGATGCCCACACTCTAGGTGGTGGCTTTATTTGCTAAGCCACAGCGCAGGCCCTTATTTGTTTTTGTTTATAAGCATTAGAAAGAGGGAGGGAGAAATGGAGGGAGATTTTCCACCCAGTATTTCACTTCCCAGATGGCTGCAACATCCAAGAGCTGGGTCAGGCCAAAGTCAGGAGCCAGGGGCCTGGAGGTCTCCCACCTGGGTGGCAGGAGCACAAGCACTTGAGCCATCCTCTGCTCCTTTTCCCAGACATTACCAGGGAGTTGGAATGAAAGTGGAGCAGCTAGGACTTGAAATGGCATCCATATGGGATGCCAGGGTCACAGCTGGCAGCGTTACCCCCACCTCATCAGTCGCCCCGAAAGGCTGTTTCTTCCTAGCTCAGAGTTCCCTAATACAAGGTCACAAATCTACGCTGCTACTTCTTCAGTCATTCAGAAGGAGGTAACAAAAGGATACCAGCAAGATGCAGCCGACACTGACTCTTCTCAAAATATTTATTGTATTTTTTATTTATTTTAAAGGCAGAAAGAGAGCGATATCCCATTCACCACTTCATGCGCCTCTATGATTGCCAACAGCTAGAGCTGGGTCACACTAAAGCCAGGAGTCTAGAACTCAATCTGGGTCCCACACATAAAAAGACAAGAACTCAAGTATTTGGTCATGGTTCATTTCGGCAGGAAGCTCGAAGTAGCAGCATAGCTGGGACCTGAAACCAAGAATCTAACATATGATGCAGATGTCCCAAGAAGTGTCTTAATCTCTGCACCTAACAACTACGCCCTCTTCTCCAAATACTGAACACTGCAATCTAATACCCCACATATATTACTGCATTTATTCTTCATAACCATCTAATAATAAAAGCAGGATGGGGCCAGTGCTGTGGCAAAGCGAGTAAAGTGACAACCCATACACGCACCAGTTAAGAATCCCGGCTGCTCCCCTCTGATCCAGATCTCTGTTATGGCCTGGGAAAGCAGCAGAAAAACGACCAAGTCCTTGGATCCCTGCACTGGGATGGGAGACCCAGAAGAAGCTCCTGGCTCCAAATAGGCTCAGCTACGGCTTTTGTGGCAACTTAGGGAGTGAAACAGTGGATGAAAACCTCTCTCAATCTCTGTCTCTAAATCTGCATTTCAAATAAATAACAATAAATCTTTTTTAAAAAGCAGGTTTTATCATCACTTTTGTAGATGAAGAAATGATGTACAGACCTTTTATAAGCAGAATATAAATCCTGAAAATAAAGTTATAGGTCCTATACTCCAAATAACTCTGATTAGCACCTAAAATTAGCTCAAATTCTTAACTGATTTATAAAGGATCTGAAAATAAACCCACCTAAAAACCTGGTTTTAGTAATACAGTGGAAACTGGTGTTGTGGTATAGTGGGTAAAGCTGCCACTTGCAGCATTAGGCATCCATATGGTCACTGGTTCTAGCTGCTCCACTTCTCTCTCTCTCTTTTTTTTTTTTTTTTAAAATAAAGTTCAGGTCATTTTCTAAAAAGATCTACTTATTTTACTTGATAGAGTTACAAAGAGAGAAGGAGAGGCAAAGAGAGAGAGGTCTTCCATTCGCTGGTACACTCCCCAATTGACCGCAACGGCTGGAGCTGTGCCAATCCGAAGTCAGGAACCAGGAGTTTCTTCCAGGTCCCTCATGTGGGTGCAGGGGTCCAAGGGCTTGGGCCATCTTCTATTGCTTTCCTAGGCCACAGCAGAGAGCAGGATAGGAAGCAGAGCAGCCGGGACAGGAACCGGTGCCCGTATGGGATGCCGGCACTGCATGTGGCAGCTTTACCCTTTGCTACACTTCCAATCCAGCTTACTGCTAAGGCACCTGAGAAAGCAGCGGAGGATGGCCCAAGTCCTTGGGACCATGCAACCACATGGGAGGACCTTGATAATGCTCCTGGCTTCAGCCTGGCCCAGGCGCGGCGATTGCGACCTTTTGGGGAGCGAACCAAAGGATGGAAGATCTATTTCTCTGTTTCTCTCTTTCCTTTATAACTCTTTGAAATAAACAAATGAATTAAAAAAAAAAAAAAGCTACCAGTGATTTCAACATGATTACTTCAGTTCAAAACACAGAAATATTTCTGATGTCACTAGTCAATAGTAATAAAAATTATGTTTAAATCGTATTATTTAACATATATTTTATATTCAAATGAATCCAAGTGTCCCAGAAACACCCTTTATTTTCCCCTCAATCTAGAAACTTAACAAAGATTCCACATTACATATACTACTCTTATCTCATGGTTCCCTTAGTCCATGTCTCCTGTTTTGGGAGTATTTCATGACAATGAGGGAAAAAAAGTTTTGTTTTGTTTTGTTTTGTTTTTTCATTTTATTTGAAATGCAAAGACCGAGGGAAAGAGGTTTTCTATCCTCTCATTCACTCCCCAAATGCCCCAAACATCCAAGGCTACTGAAATGGAAGAAAGGTGTGACCTGATACCAGGCATTCTGATATGGGATGCAGGTATCCCAATGGGCAAACTGACCACGGGACCAAATGCCCAATGCATGACAGTAAGTAGTAGCCACAGTCATCCACGAGATTAAGCCCTCGCTTGGGACAACCACACCCACCGAAGTACCCTGGCATCAAGTCCTGCTTCCACTTCCAATGCAGCTTCCTACTAATAAGCCTTGGGGGAAGCAGATGATACATGTACCTGGGCTCCTGCCACTATGTGGGAGACCTAGACAGAGTTCCAAGCTTCTGTCACTAGTCAACAATAATAGAGCTAGCTCAGCTCTAGGCATCACGGGCAGCTAATAAATGAACCAGCATATGGAAGATCTCATTCTGTCTCTGCTTCCCTCCATCTTCCTCTGCTTTTCAACTAACTTTTAAAAAGAAAAAAAGGGGGGAGTCACCTGTGCTGTGGCCCAGGCCTGCGGCATCAGCATCCCTTAAGGGCGCCAATTTTAGTCCTGGCTGTTCCACTTCCAATCCAGCTCCCTGCTAATGTGCTTGGGAAAACATCGTAAGACTGTCCAGGCTGGTGCCGCGTCTCAATAGGCTAATCCTCTGCCTTGCAGTGCTGGCACACCGGGTTCTAGTCCCGGTTGGGGTGCCGGATTCTGTCCTGGTTGCTCCTCTTCCAGGCCAGCTCTCTGCTGTGGCCAGGGAGTGCAGTGGAAGATGGCCCAAGTTCCCAAGTTCTTGGGCCCTGCACCCGCATGGGAGACCAGGAAAAGCACCTGGCTCCTGGCTTCGGATCAGTGTGGTCCGCTGGATGCAGCACGCTGGCCGCAGCGGCCATTGGAAGGTGAACCAATGGCAAAAGGAAGACCTTTCTCTCTATCTCTCTCACTGTCCACTCTGCCTGTCAAAAAAAAAAAAAAGACGACGACGAAGAAGACGACGACGACGACTTTCTAAATCGTCGGGCCCCTGTACCCACATAGATGGCCCGGAAGAAGCTCCTGGCATCAGACTGGCTCAGCTCCAGCTGTTGTAGCCATTTGGTGAGTGAATCACCGAATGGAACACCCCCACCCCCCCGTAACTCTGTCAAATAAATAAAATAAACCTTAAAAACCAAAAGGAAGTACAAGAATCTATGGGGCTGGCACTATGGCTTAGTGGGTAATACAGCAGTGACAGAATCCCAAATGGGTACTAGTTTGAGTCCCGGCTGCTCCACCTTTGATCCAGCTCTCTGCTATGGCCTAGGAGAGCAGCAGAAGATGGCCCAAGTCCCTGGGCCCCTGCACCCACATGGGAAACCCGAAGGAAGCTCATGGCTTCGGATCAGCTCAGCTGTGGCGGTTGTCATCAACTGGGGAGCAAACCAGCAGATGGAAGACCTCTCTCTCTCTCTGCCTGACCTCCTCTGTGTAACTCTTCTAATAAAAATAAATAAAAATCTTAAAAAAAAAAAAAAAGTACAGACAACACCACTAAAAGACTATCTTTTCAGTCTAAAAAAAAAGCACATAAAGTTGGAATTGGTATTCATTTATAATAAATACACAATTTAAATTCTATCTTTTAACTGATTCAACCTAAATTTCCTTTCTTTTATATTTTGAAGTGAGTGCAGTGTTACCAACTATAAACTTACTACAGTAATTTAAGAGCAATGAAAATAGAATTAAAACATGAAAACACCAAGGCTCACGTTATTACTTGAATGATGAATACAATTGTGGTAACACTGGTGACAAAGTCCAAAGGTATTCCCAAATCAGGCAGGATTGCAAAAAATATTCTCAGGTTAATGTTTATTTTAGTTTTATTCGGCAAAAGGATATTTAAGGTATAGGTTTTACAAATCTATTAGGAGAGAAATATTTCATTTATTTAGAAAAAGCTAAGAAGCTGGTATTAGACTTAATGAAGGCCAACATCATAAGTGGTTTTTTGTTTAAACTCTGGCTAACATATTAATTAACTTATTATTTTATTTATTTGAAAGACAGGGAATTCTCCTATTCATGGATACACCTCTGAAACATGCACACAAATCAGGCTGGGTCAGGCTGATAACAGGAGCTTGAAAGATGATCGGATCTCCTTCATGGGTAGAAGGAACCCATCCCCGATTCCTACCAACTACCTGAGCCATTAGGCTTTGTAGCCTCCCAAGTTCTTTGTCAGAGAAAAGCTACAATCAGAAGCAGAGTGGGACTTGAACCCAAGCACTCCAATAAGGGATACAAGTGCCCTGAGCAGTGTCGCAATTACTGTTTTATTGATCTCAATCAGAAAATTAGGCAGGATGACACTGTGGGAGAAGTGTATCTGTTATCTTTATTTAATTATCTGGTACATGGCTTTAAAACTGCTTCTACTCTTGGCATAAAAATAGCTCATACATACTTTTTTTCACTTTCTATTTTGGTCTTTCCTTACTCTGAATAATGACATCTTTGTACAAATGTAATGTTCATAAGCAAGGAATTCTTTCTCTAATCTATTTGATTTTTTTAAAAAGATTTATTTATTTATTTATTTGAAAGTCAGAGTTACATAGGGAGAGGAGAGGCAGAGAGAGAGGTCTGCCATCCAATGGTTCACTTCCCAACTGGCCACAACAACCGGAGCTGTGCTGATCCAAAGTTAGGAGCCTCTTCCGAGTCACCCACGTGGGTGCAGGGGCCCAAGGACTTGGGCCATCTTCCACTGTTTTCCCAGGTCACAGCAGAGAGCTGGATCGGAAGTGGAGCAGCCAGGTCTTGAACCAGTGCCCATATGAGATGCCAGTGCTCCAGGCCAGGGATTTAACCTGCTGCACTACAGTGCCGGCCCCTAATCTATTTGATTTTAAAGTAAAAATCCTAAGAACATAGATAAAGAACCATATACCCAGGAGGTTGCTGACATATTTTTGCTAGAAATCCTGTCACGAATATGTTCTTTCCTTGAATGTACATAAAATAACATGTCATTTGAGGTTATGTCTTTCAATTAGTGGGGAAAAAAGAAGTTAGCAAATTAAGAAAAAATCTACAAGATGAGTAGTTAATTACACTCAAACACAGTGATACATTACAACTAGACTGAAACACTGTGCCTTTTATTCTAAATAACAAAACACTGCCTTAAATCAAACAAGGTAGAGACTGATAACCTCTATATAAAACCAATCAAATTAGGAAGTAGCTAATTGTAATACTCAAAAAAACATGATCTGAAATCTATAGATTATGGCTATAGAACGCATGATCTGAAATCTATAGACTATGGCTTAACATTGTTATCCACAAAATCATGAATAAAAAAATTAAGACAAGGCACGGTCCCAGCTCATCTATACCATCAAGTAATGCCTAACAGAACATTATCAGCTTTGACTGTTACCTTCCAAGAAGGGAAGCATGGATCCAGAAATTAGAGCATATGAGGGATACTAGCTGAGCAGATAGAAATTCCCTCTCTAGAAAATTTTATGGGATGGGTCAGCGTTGTGGCAAAGCAGGCATCATGCATGGGTGCCAGTTCCTGTTCCAGCTGCTCCATCTATTTCACTGCTAATGGTCTGGGAAAAGCAGCAGAGAAGGCTGGCGCAGTAGCATAGTACGTTAAGCCTCTGCCTGCAGCACCAGCATCCAATATGGGTGCCAGATTGAGTCCTGGCTATTGCACTTCTGATCGAGCTCCTTGATAATGCGCCTGGGAAAGCAGAAGATGGCCCAAGTACTTGGGCCCCTGCACTCACATTCAAGACCCAGAAGAAGCTCCTGGTTCCTAGCTTTGGATCGGCCCAGTTCTGGTGGTTAGAGCCATTTGGGAAGTGAACCAGCAAATGAGAAACTCCTGTCTATCCCCCTCTCTGTAACTCTGCCTCTCAAATAAATAAATAAATTAAAAAAAAAAAAAAAAAAAAAGACAGAGAAAGAGAAGCCCAAGCACCTGTCACCTGTCACCCACGTGGGAGACCTGGATGTAGCTCCTGGCTTCAGCCTGGCCCAGCCCTGGGCTTTACGACTATTTCAGGAGGAGATCTCTAACTCTTTCAAAATAAATAAATAAATAAATAAATAAATAAATCCATCCATCCATCCATCCATCCATCCGGGGTGGGGGGGTGTGTTGGGGGGGGTGTTAGAAAAATTCAGTGGATGAAGATCTCTGGCCCTCCATGTCAGTCTTTCAATAAAATCAATGTTTAAATAAATAAAAAAATCAGAAAGGCCTCAAATGGAGTATTTCTAAGGATACTTTCAATTCACTCTTTCTACTGCTCAATAAACAGGACAATTGCGCCGGGTACTAGTCCCAGTTGCTGCTCTTCCAGTCCAGCTCTCCGCTGTGGCCTGGGAAGCAGCGAAGGATGGCCAAGTGCTTGGGTCCCTGCACCCGCATGGGAGACCAGGAGGAAGCACCCAGCTCCTGGCTTCGGATGGGCGCCGGCCATCGTGGCCATTAGTGGAATGAACACGAAAGGAAGACCTTTCTCTCTGTCTCTCTCTATAACTCTACCTGTCCCCCACTCAAAAAAAAAAAAAAAAAAAAAAGGACAGTTGAAGAAATTCTCAAACACCAGGGCTCAAGTGTTACCTTTCCTCCTGTTGTGACTGCTTCTTCATCCTGCTCATCTGCAAAATCAAAACATGAAATTTATTTTAAAAACAGGTAAATGTTATTTGGATTATTGTGAAACATCACCATCTAAGAACTGATACTGACTCTGAAGAGAAAGAAAATTGAGCATTATTAAAGTAGAATCACTGTGAATAATAAATTGAAATTTAGCAAAGATGCATAGGAATAAGTAGAAATTCAAAGCACAGATAATGTGAAGTTTCCAACAACAGGAATTTATAATTCATTACTGGTTGAGAGCTAAAATAGTCACGACCTTGCTTAGTAACAGGCTGGGTGATCTGAACAGGGCTCTAGTCTCCTGCCATTTCAAGTAATAAACTAACAACAGTTTGGATGACAAATTGAATGAGAGTAGTCAAGAAAGGTGACAATCACTTCCAACCACGTCCTACTATTCCTACAATGAATGTTAATGAGTTTCAAGGATGGGGATTCAAGGATCTAAATATGCTGACCTTATGGCTGGTGCTGTTGGGTGGCGGGGTAAAGCTGCCACCTGCAGTGCTGGCACCCTATACGGGTGCTGGTTCAAGACCAGGCTGGCTCCACATCTGATCCAGCTCTCTGCCATGAGCTCGGAAAGCAGTGGAAGATGGCCCCAGTCCTTGAGTCTCTGGACCCTCATGGGAGACCCAGAAGAAGCTCCTGGCTCCTGGCATGGGATCAGCTCAGCTCTGGTTGTTGGGGCCATTTGGGGAGTGATCCACCAGATGGAAGACCTTTCTCTCTCTGCCTTTACCTGTAACTTTCTGTACCTCTTTTAAATAAATCTTTTAAAAAAATAAATACACTGATCTTGCAAAAGAAAACACAAATATAATTTCAACCAAGGAGTTGATTTCCATAGTAACAGCAAGTAGGTTAATGTAGAAAGAACATGAGGTTACAGTACAAATAATTACCTTATTAAAGACCTGTAACAATTAACTTTTTTTAAGTATTATGACCCTTACAAATGACTTAGGCATTGTTAAGTATAAAAAGAACACAGGAAAATCACTGTGTTATTCACATATACATACAACAATGATTCCAATGGAATGGGGATACAGCAAACTCTGACCAACTGTGATCCACTACAATTTGAAAATGGAAACTAAAATTCTGAATGAAATCTGGAATTATTTACTTATTTGCTTGTTTAAAAGGCAGAGATCTTTCATCTATGGTTCCTCTTCTAAATGCCTGCAAAAGCTAGGGCTGGGCCAGCAAGGAAGCCAAGAGCTATGAACTCAATCCAGGTCTCTCATGTGAATGGTAGGAACCCAATTACTAGAACAATCACCATTGCCTCCCAGGGTCTGCAATGGCAGAAGCTGGAATCAAAAAGCAGAACCAGAATCAACCCAAGACACTGAGGTGGGATGCTGAGATCTTACCCACTAAATAAATGCCTGCTCTTGAATGCACGACCTTGACTTTCAGAATATTTCTATTCAACAGTTAAATGGTAAGAAGGGTGGTTTATTATACCTGTTTATGCAAATTATAGGACTTAGGATAAATACTTGCTTACCCTCTGAGATTCTTAATTTTGTTATGAGAAAACCTATGTACAGTCCTCTAATAAGTTTGTTGATAGGGGTGGCACTGTAGCATAGGTGCTGTCGTATGTATAGTGGGTAAAGCTGCCTCCTGCAGCACCAGCATCCCATATAGGCACCAATTGGAGTCCCAGCTGTTCCAAGTCCAATCCAGCTCCTTGCTAATGTGCCTGTAAAAGCAGCGGAAGATGGCCCAACTCCTTGGGCCCTTACACCTACTTGAGAGACCTGGATGCAGCACCTGGCTCATGGCTCCAGTCTGGCCCAGTCCCAGCTGTAGCTGCCATTTGGGGAATGAACCAGCAGATGGAAGTTATCTGTCTCTCATTTTTTAGTATGTAACTATGCCTTTCAAATAAAATAAATAAATCTTAAAAAAAAAAAAAAAAAAGCTGATCATGAACTACCTAATGAGCTTCACTAAGGCAGAAACACTGCATAGGTGTTGCTGCATTTTCATCGCTGAGGCAGAACTGTTCTGTGCAACCTCTCGTGGGAAGCATAAGGAAGCCTACACCTAGACCCAATTTCTGTTTTTTTCCTTTATGATCCAACTGCTACTTTGACCATATAGCAAAAATAAATGTTAATTATGAGTACAATTCTACACTGAATCCCATGAGCCATCTTAGAGAATCTCTAACACCAGGCATGGCTTTGGGTGCCCTCCATAGAACTGAGAATGAGGAACAGTTTTTACATTTTGCTGTGATCATGCCTGAAAAGCCAATCGAGAGGCCAGCATTCTAGCACACAGAGTTTAGTTGTGGTCTGCAGCACCAACATCCCATGTGGGTACTGGTTCAAGTCCCAGCTACTCGACTTCCAATCTAGCTCCTTACTAATGTGCCTAAGAAGCAGTGGAAGCTGACCCAAGTGCTTAGGCACCTGCATCCATATGGATCTGTATCTCCCTCTCCCCTAATTCTGACTTTCAAATAAATAAATATTTAAAAGAAAAAAAATGTAAATCAGGGACCGGTGCTGTGGTGTAGCGGGTTAACATCCTGGCCTGAAGTTCTTCCTGCCCATGCAGCTCCTCTCAGGCACTGTATTTATGGTAACCAAAAGCTGACTAATATAAAAGGTAATAAGGAGCCGGCGCCGCGGCTCAATAGGCTAATCCTCCGCCTTGCGGCACCAGCACACCGGGTTCTAGTCCCGGTCGGGGTGCCGGGTTCTGTCCCGATTGCCCCTCTTCCAGGCCAGCTCTCTGCTGTGCCCAGGGAAGTGCAGTGGAGGATGGCCCAAGTGCTTGGGCCCTGCACCCCATGGGAGACCAGGATAAGTACCTGGCTCCTGCCATCGGATCAGCGCAGTGCGCCGGCAGCAGTGCTCTGGCCGCGGCGGCCATTGGAGGGTGAACCAACGGCAAAGGAAGACCTTTCTCTCTGTCTCTCTCTCTCACTGTCCACTCTGCCTGTCAAAAAAAAAAAAAAAGTAATAAGGGACTAGCATTCCAACAAAATCCAACTAGCCCCTGTCCAAATGTGAAAACACAATAATGAGCAAGAAAAGGTACCTGCTTTTAGGTAGTTTACACTTCAATTAGAAGCAGCATAAAATTTAACAAAAATAAAAATTTATCAGATGGTGAAAATGTTATCTAACTTAAATGAAGTAATTTTTAGAGAGCAATAAGGTGAATGGGCCCCTTTAGACCGAAAAGGTGACATTAAGCTGAAATGTAAGACATGAAAAGGACATGATAAGAATTCCAGAGAAGGCCAGTGCCACAGCTCACTTGGCTGATTCTCTGCCTGCAGCGCTGGCACCCCGGGTCTAGTCCCAGTTGGGGCACCGGATTCTGTCCCGGTTGCTCCTCTTCCAGTTCAACTCTCTGCTGTGGCCCGGGAAGGCAGTAGAGAATGGCCCAAGACCTTGGGCCCCTGCACCTGCATGGGAGACTAGGAGGAAGCACCTGGCTCCTGGCTTCGGATTGGCGCAAACTGCTGGCCAAAGCAGCCATTTGGGGGCTGAACCAACGGAAGGAAGACCTTTCTCTCTCTCTGTCTCTCTCTTACTAACTCTGCCTGTCAAAAAAAAAAAAAAAATTTTTTTTTTCCAGAGAAAGTAGCCAGGTCAAAGCGGTTCTGGAGGGGCAGGTTTGAAAAATTCCCAAAACTGAAAGGTGGCCACTGTGAGCATGAATAAAGCCTGAGGGAAAGCAACAGTCAAGACAGCAAAGTACAGTGACTCAAGCACTGGCAGTAAAATGGAGACAGACCACAACCCAAACATGGACTCCACCACTTAAGTGCTGAATACTTAGGAAAAAGTTACTGAATCTCTCTCTCAATCTCCTTTTCCATAAAAGAAGGCTAACATGGGTCAATAGTGAAGGCAAAGATTTGTAGAACACTCACAGGCACTCATGTAACACAGAGATGGACATGTTGCTTAAAGTTAACTCAGTGATACAGAAATGCTAATGCAAACAGGAAATCAGAGTGTGACAAAATAAGGTACTAAATACCAAAAGGCGACATGCAATCCTGCCTGAGAACTAGGTTCTCCTGTGATGTTTACAACTGAAAAAAATTAAGATTACCCTTTATCTCTAAAGATGCTTAAAACTAATCATTTTCTTCGAAAACTAAAACAAGTAACTGCATTTCTCTTTCATACCCTCCAGCAAGCAACAGGACAATGATAGTTTGCTTATGAAAATGTCAGCAACATGAACAGGTGGCCCCCTCTGTGGGTTCCCCATGCACAGATCCCATCAACCAAAAACCAACACTATTTGGGGAAAAAACTTGTGTTTACAGTCAACATAGACGGATTTCTTCTTTGCCATAATTCCCTACAATACAGTATAACAACTATCTACACAGTACTTACACTGTATTAGATAAGAAATCTAGACAGGATCACATATGGGAGAGATGTGAGATGATAAATACTACACCATTTTACAGAGGTCTTGAGCAACTGTATATTCTGGTATCTTTAGCAGATTCTAGAACTAATCCCACCAAGAAAAAAACACTACAATTTAGCTTATGAAGTATTAACAGTCAACAGATTTTGAACCTAAAGATGAAAAATCAATTTGCATATATGCTCTAAAACAAGCTAATAAAGAAAATTAGAAAAAAGGATTCTAATTAGAATTCTTTCCTTAAAACTCTCACTCTCACATACAAGTAAAACATTACCACCTTTGTTAGGCTGTTCCAGCATTAGAAGAATTTATGAGAGGGAGATCACTTTTTAAAAAAGAAAAAGATTTTTAAATTTCCTAACATAATAGCAAAACAAATCACAAGAGAAGCAAAGACAGCCAGTTAACAATCTGTGGTGATCAGAAAAGCAACTAAAAGAAGAACCCAATAAAGAAATATCAAAAGAGTTGGCACATTTAAGAGAAAAACACTCAATTCCACAATACAGGATTATTTTGGTATTTACCTAGATCTGCTACAGTTCCTCCTTTAACAGGTGTATTTTCACTATCTTTCTTTGGATTTACTAAAAAAAAAAAAAAAAAATTTATATTTAGGGGAACACATGCATCTCACTGCAACACCAATATCATTCACTATTTATCTTTATTGTGAATACCACAAAACTAGCTGCAAAACATTAACACTTAACATATTAGGCAATATTTTATAACTAACTACCCAAGCAGTGACATATTTTCGTCATAAAATTAAATACAGGGGCCGGCATTGTGCCATGGTGAGAGAGATCTTCCATCTACTGGTTCACTCCTCAAATGGCTGAAATAGCCAGGCCAAGTCAAACTCAGGTGCCCAGAAATCCACCCAGGTATCCCAAATGGGTGGCAGGGATCCAAGCACTTGGACCATCCTCCACTGCTTTCCCAAGTACATTAGCAGAGAGCTGGATCAGAAGTGATGTGTCCAAGATCTGAACTGGGAGTCCACTTGGGATGCTGGCATTGCAGGCTGAAGCATAAGCTGCAGCACCACATCTGTCATCCCTCTGGATGTACCCATTTTAAAATCTGTAGCAGACATTGCCAAATTCTATTAAGTGGGTTCATTGACTTTCACTTCCATCAATATTTCAGAGTACTGATTTCCTCAAAAGAATCAGAATTTTCCATCTATACTGTACGCTTTGAAAATCAGCAGTAACTTGATTAAGTGTGGCTGACATCTACTCAGTCATTGGCTCTGTATCTTATAAATTAGCAGTACATAATATTTTGCCTTTTACTGTATGGGGTTTAGAATCTTTATATATAATTAATATGAAAGGCAGAAAGAGATAGGCAAATGGAGATATATGCTCCATCTGTTTGTTCACTTCCAGCAATGGCTGGGGCTGGAATAAAAGACAGGAGCCTGGAACACAAATCTAGCAGAGAAAGGAGGAGAGGAAGGGATATGGAAGGCCTCTACTAGCGAAATACTTCTCCCATAAAGGTAGGCAAGAAAGGGTATAAACTAACAAATTAAACGTCGGGGTTGGCAGGTAAAGCCGCCGACTTCAGTGCTGACATCCCACAGGGGCGCCAGTTCACGTTCAAGCTGCTTGATTCCAAATCCAGCCCTCTGCTGTGGCCTGGGAAAGCAGTGCAAGATGGACCAAGTGCTTGGGCCCTGCATCCACGAGGGAAACCTGGAAGAAGCTCCAGGCTCCTGGCTTCGTAATGACACAGCTCCAGCAGTTTCAGCCACCTGGGAAGTGAACTGGTGGATGTTAAGACATCTCTCTCTCTAACTCTACCTTTCAAATAAATAAATCTTTAAAAAAAAAAAAAAGGCAATTAGAATAATTTTAAATTAATTAGTTAATTAAATGTCATGTGTCTTTTCCTTTTGGAATATACTGGTCCTTATCTCTGAAAATTCAATCACAGGCGCACTGAAGACACAAACATGCAATGGTCAATTAAAAACACTTGATATAAATCTAAAGTACACTTTGAACTTCACCCAAACACCAATCAGACCACAATTTACATCACTAATAGTAAGGTTCACCTCACTTACCCAGCAGTATTAATTACTAGAGTTTTACTTACATAAAGTAATTTTGTAATTTCATTACAAAGTTTTACTTACATAGAGCAATACTCAGAGATTTAAAAAGGTTACATTGTACAGATATATGTAGTCTAGTTTTTCATAAGTATTGGCTCTGTTGAGATTTAAAAACTGCTAATTTTAAAGCATTATTAAATTTAGAGAATTCTTTAGTGTTTTCTCAATAAACAATGGCTAAAAAGTAAAACAAATAATTGAAGAAAATGGAAGTTCAAAAAGGCTAATCTTAATAGAAGGAAACTATTCCTATTGGAATGTTGAGCATTCTAGTCTCAGACTAAGAAGTGAATCATCTCATGGCACTGAGGAAAATGACTACATTGTATCTAATGCTCTCAGGCAGAATACACACCATTTTTGGGAAGTACTACTTCCTCTATATTGGGTACAGGTGTTGGGTCTTCCATGTCCTTGGTGAGATCTTCCTGCTCATCATCTTCTTTCTGACTTCTGCGTTTCCCATAAAGACTAGCTTGGCTAAAACATAAGAGAGACTGATAATAGCTACCTGTTATTAACATCTATGCTCACACACACTTTAAGAGACAAACAGTGATCAGATTAGACGCACTCCTCAAATTACATCTAACAAGTCCAAAAAAAAAAAAAAAAAAAGATAAAAGCTACCAAGCATAAAAAATGAGCACAGATGCACTATCATTTAAATTGCAGTCAGCACCTAACAGATTAGATTAAATGTGATAAAAGAACACCTGCTAAAGAGATAGGACACGTAACTCGTAGATTACTCAAAAAAAATCAAGTTACATAAGAAATTAGCTCAAATATATGCACAACTGTTTACCTGACTCTTTCTATCACGTATCAGGAATTATAAAGCATAAATACTGAATATAGTCATTCATTCTTTTTTAATAGAAATTGGCATTGTTTTCACTCAATTAAATCAGTTTAAGTATTAATACTGTCTGATGGTTAGATAAAAATGGGAATATTCTTTACCCTGAATTACAAAAAACAAGGTACAAAAATCATTACCTACCTTACATAATGTGATGAAACCAATACAAAAACATACAAGTATCATATTTCAGTACAGAAAAATACAGAGAAATAAATAAAAGTAATGAAAAAAAAATACATTGGGTATAGTTGGTTAAGCTACCACCTGCAATGCTGGCAATCCATATGGGCACTGGTTCCTGTCCAGTCCAGAGCTCCCTGCTAATCTGCCTGGGAAAAGCAGCACCAGATGACCTAAGTCCTTGGACCCCTGTACCCATAAGGATGAAGCTCCTGGTTTCAGCGTGGCCAAGCTCTGACTAATGAAGCAATCTGGAGAATGAACCAACAAATGGAAGATGTCTCTTCCTCTCACTAACTGTGCCTTTCAAATAAATCTTAAGAAAAAAGGTGGGGAAAGGGAGTGGCACTGTGGCATAGTGGGCTGGCATCTGCCTGCAGTGCCAGCATCCCGTAAGGGCACCAGTCGAGGTCTGGCTGGTCCACTTCTGATCCAGTTCCCTGCTGACGGCCTGGGAAGGCAGTGGAGGATGGCTCAAATGCTTAGGTCCCAACAACCACGTGAGAGACCACGAAGATCCTGGCTCCTAGCTTCAGATCCACCCAGCTCTAGACATTGTGGTCATTTGGGGAGTGAAACAGCAGATCGAAGGCCTATCTCTCTGTCTCCCTCTGTCTGTAACTTTGCTTCTCAAGTAAACAAATAAACATTAAAAAAAAAAGAAAAAAAATTAGTTAGTGAAGATTGCTGGTGACAGTTATGCTGTACCTTGAGAATTATGCAACAATTCACTAAGAATTAGGCAATATTTCAGAGTAAAGAGTAAAGACTAAAGGCATAAGGAGGAAGATTAACTTGTTTGAGGAAAGGGCTGGCAGTAATCCAGACTGTATTCATAAGTGACATTGCAAAGGAGACAGAACACACTGCACCAGCCTAAGCCCCAAAATTCAGAGAGAATGCTCCTGGAGGGAGACAAAACAGTTTAAAAGTAAGGAGAGATTCCAGATACTTGAATAAAACAAAGGCTAGCAATGTGCTTTGTTTAAATTCAGGATTTCAACAGAACACTTAAAATAAGAAAAGACCTGATCCTTAGGCACCAAATGCATTTTAGCACCTGTTTTTTGGCTCCGAATACTTTAAAGTTGACATCATGGGGGTGGTGAGTCCTTGTGGTGTGGGTTAAGCTGCAGTCTGCAACACTGGCAATCCTATATGGGCAGTAATGAACCTGGAAAAGCACCAGAATATGGCAAAAGTGCTTGAGCCTCTGCCACCCACATGGGAGACACAGAGGAAGCTCCTGGCTCCTGGTTTCAGCCTGGTCCAGCCCCAGCCATTGCAGCCATTTGGGGAATGAACCAGCTGAGGAAGATCTCTCTCTCTCCCCCTTATTTCTCTGTTATACTGTCTTTCAAATAAATAAATCTAAAGAGGGAAAAATAAAGTTGACATGCCTTTCCTGGTGAAGAGCTCAGGTAGCTCTGAAATCTCTGAGCATCATAAGCAAGATTCACATTAGCAACATAATAAAGTCGGGGCCAGTGTTTTGCCACAGGGGACTAAGCTGTGGTCTGCAATGACAGTATCCAATACGGGCACTGGTTTGTGTTCCAGTAGCTTTACATCCAATCCAGCTCCTTGCTAATGCCCTGGGAAACAGCAGCAGATCAAGTGCTGGTTCAAGTGCTTGAGACTCTGCCATTCATGTGGGAGACAGAGGAAGATCCTGGCTCCTGGTCCTGGCCCTGGCCTGGCTCAATCCTGGACATTGCAGCCATCTGGAGAATGAACCAGTGGGTGAAGACCTCTCTTTCTAAGACCTCTCTCTCTCTTCTGTTACTGTGACATTCAAATAAACAAATACCCCTTAAAAAAAAGAAAAAAGATATAGTAAAGTTACCTTGAGTAATACCAAAAGAAAGGTATTTTTACTTTTAATTTTTGTTAGAATGTGGCTTAATACCCCTCCACCCCATCAAAAAAAGTCTTTATGTCTGTGATTGAGTCAGTAACATTGTACATAAACTAAGTTTTACAATTTCCCTAAACACTCTTATGCATGACTGAAGAATGTCTCTGGGGTGGGAATTTAGCCTTTCAGTTAAGACAAAGGTTATGATGCTGGTATCTCACATCAGAGTCTGAGTCATGGTTCTTGGTTCCTGACTGCAGTCTCCTACTCATGTAGGCACTGGGAGAATCTGATTATGGCTCAAGTTAACTGGGTTCCAATAATGAGGCATGCATTAATAGTTATCGACTTTGGCCCTGAAATTGCAGGAATTTGGGGAAGGAATGAGGATGAATTTCTCTCCCTCACTCTATATGTCATTTTCTATCTATTTCTCAAATAAAAAATTTAAAAAAACTAATTGTTGGGGCCGGTGCTATGGCACAGCGGGTTAAAGCCCTAGCCTGAGGCGCAGGCAATCCATATGGGCACCCCTTTGTAGTCCTGGCTGTACTTCTTCCAATCAATTTCTCTGCTATGGCTTGCACCCACGTGGGAGACCTGGAAGAAGCTCCTGCCTTCAGACTGGCACAGCTCTAGATGCTGTGGCCATACGGGGAGTGAACCAGCAGATGGAAGACCTTCTCTCTGTCTCTACCTCTCTTTGTTAACTTTTTTTTTGGACAGGCAGAGTTAGACAGTGAGAGAGAGAGAGAGAGACAGAGAGAAAGGTCTTCCTTTCCGTTGGTTCACCCCCGAAATGCCTGCTACGGCCGGCATGCTGCGCTGATCTGAAGCCAGGAACCAGGTGCTTCCTCCTGGTCTCCCATGAGGGTGCAGGGCCCAAGCACTTGGGCCATCCTCCACTGGCCCCCCACCCCACTGGGCCACAGCAGAGAGCTGGACTGGAAGAGGAGCAACCGGGACAGAATCCAGCGCCTGCACCCAGACTAGAACCCGGGGTGCCAGTGCCGCAGGCAGAGGATTAGCCAAGTGAGCCGCGGCACCGGCGTCTCTGTTAACTCTTTCATATAAAATAAATCTTAAAAAAAAAAAAAAAAAAAAATGTTAACTCTAAACTTCATGAAGTAACATGATTCATGGCATGGTCTAGGGAGAGAAATGTCAATTTGACGAGAGAGGAAAGCCAGTACACGAGATAGAAACTGTAAAACAGATCTTTACAATCCGGTCACAAAGAGTGAGAAATTTAACAAATGCATCTATCACATGAAAATAATCAATTATTTAAATCATCATTTTCTTACTATGACCTTTGTAAAATTGCACACAAAAAATTTTGTGCCTGGAAAATCAAAATGATCAAATAATCAACTTAATAAGTAGTAAGTCACCAAGTTATTATAAGCTATTTATTAAGTACTTCAGGCCATACAGTAAGGGCTTTAAAGTTTAATTTAATCCCAACAACAACCTACTCAGCAGAAAACATGATCCTCATTCGAGGAAGGCTCATAAAGTGGAAATATGTGGCTGTAAAAACATCAATGTTGTCCTCTGCAGAACATCAAATAGCTACAGGTTCATCTCTTACATGAGACAGATGGTAAAATCAGAGAGAGAGACACTTAAACTCCTTACCAACCAAGCTTCTTGCATAAACTTAAAGAAAAATAGAACATAAGATGCCTCTAAAATAACATCTATAATAAGATTAACCATCAATGCAAAAGACTTCCAAACAAGTCAAAACATGATTTACTTTCAGGAAAAATTCTAATATAAATGTAAAATACTGGCTAGTCCTTTGAAGTTTCTTTTAATACGTTTTTGTAAATCACATTGCAGTGCTTACCCTTTCTTCCCACTCTTCTTCCGTGATTCTGTGGGTGTGGGAGGCGGAGGTGAAGGTGAATGTTTCCTCTTTCGAGCATTAGCTGATGCTTTTCTATCTCGTCTTTCTGGACTTCGGACTGGCTAGGAAAAAGTAAGTAGAAATACAAATCAGCCAACTTTTCCAACTCCTCAGTTTCTACAAACCTCTGTCCCAATAAATCAAGATACCATCAAATTCATTAGTTGAGGCAAATGGAAATCAATGTCAAATTACCAGGACCAGCAATAAAGACACGTTACAATTACTTCTTTTCTCTCTCTTTTTTTTTTTTTTTTTGGACAGGCAGAGTGGAGAGTGAGAGAGAGTGAGAGAGAGTGAGAGAGAGTGAGAGAGAGAGAGAGAGAGAGAGAGAGAAAGAAAGGTCTTCCTTTGACTTTGGTTCACCCTCCAATGGCTGCCGCGGCTGGCACGCCACGGCTGACGCGCTGCGGCTGGCGCACCGCACTGATCCGATGGCAGGAGCCAGGTGCTTCTCCTGGTCTCCCATGGGGTGCAGGGCCCAAGCACCTGGGCCATCAGTGCACCACTGCACTCCCTGGCCACAGCAGAGAGCTGGCCTGGAAGAGGGGCAACCGGGACAGAATCCAGTGCCCCGACCGGGACTGGAACCCAGTGTGCCAGCGCCTCAAGGCGGAGGATTAGCCTAGTGAGCATGCTACTATGAAATGCAAAGATGAAAATAATAATCATGTGAAACTGTACAAATAAACTACTTTTAAATCAACCAGTAAAAGGGCATAAAAGAAGTAATTTCACAGCAGTGCAACACAAACCTGAGCACATACGCTGGCATCGCAAGCACAAGCATTACATGGTAAGCCACAAAGCCAGCCCCAACATGTACTTTTTATTAGCTCATGCACCTTGGTTTGTGACAGTTATCAATGAACATATGGAAACATTGAAGCAAATAAAAGACAAAAAACCTATTGGTGAAAACACTACCAAACAAAATACCTCTTCATTCTTTGTAGAAATTCGCTGACGAAAGCTCACTGGCTTCCTGTTGTCATCCACCTCATAATCCTCTTCATTCATCCATTCATTGAAAATGTCAGTGTCCAAAATCCATTTCACATGAACCTAAAACCACATCAGATTATGAATACCGACAGAAATAATAAAAATCACTCAAACTTTTAAAGCATTCAAAAGAAAAGCATATTTTTTTCTTTTCATTTTATTTGGAAGGAAGAGAGACAGAGACGACAAAGATCTCAGTCCACAGCCTCACTTGCCAAACTTCTGCCAACAGATAGGGCCTAAAACAAGGGATCTTGAACTCAACTGGGTCTTATATGAGGGTGGCAGGGACCCAAGTACTTGAGTCATCACTGGCCACCTTCAGAATCAAAAGCAGAACCAGGACTTGAACCCAGGCATTTCAAATCAGGACGTAGTAGCTCCAAATGTCATCTCAACAATGCAGCACCCTCCTTTGTTTTAGCTTTGGAGCGTGAAACTGTACAAACCAGAATAAAAGTCTGAATCACAATTTATCCCAAACTTCTTTTTTTAAGATTTATTTATTTGTTGGGGCTGGTGCTGTGTCGTAACAGGTAAAAGCTGCCACCTGCAGTACCAGCATCCCATATGGGCAGTGGTTACTCCACCTCCAAACCAACTCTCTGCTACAGCCTGGGAAAGTAGAAGATGGGCCAGCTGCTTTAGTCCCTGCACCCACATGGGAGACTTGGAAGAAGCTTCTCATTCCTGGCTTTGGATCAGCACAGCTCTGGTCTTTGTGGTCATCTGGGGAGTGAAAGAGCAGATGGAAGAATTCACTCTCTCTCTGCCTTCTCTGTAACTCTTTCAAAGAAAAGACACAGATCTTTCACCCATTGGTTCACACCCAGATGGTCAGAACAGCTGGGGCTGGGTCAGGCCAAAGACAGGAGCTTCTTTCAGGTCTCCCTTGTGGTAGCAGGGGCTGAAACACTTAGGCCATCTTCCAGTGCTTTTCCTGGGCCATAAGCAGGGAGCTGGATCAGAACTGGAGCAGCAGGGACACAAATTTGCACTCATATGGGATGCCTACATTGCAGGTGGTGGGCCCTACCATTTCAAATTTTTATTGCCTTTTAGTGAGTAAAGAAAAATGGAAAGCATCATTGCCTTGGCTTAGACTAAGATTTTGATAACCATACCATTGTATCTTCATAAAAATCACTGATAAAAATATTTAACAGCACAGAGCCAACTGCACTAGGAAGAACAGATGTCTCTAGTTTTCCATAATCAACAACATTCTAAATAACGATAAAAGAGCACATTTACAGAGACCTTTCACACAGCTTTGTTAGGTACAATGCACTACACAGAACATTTAAAAATGGCCACAGTTTGGGTGGGTTTGGAGAAGTGAGAATCAGATGTTAGGTTCTCCTCTGTGTTTTATACAATGTCTCTTGCTGTAGTTCCTGATTATGGATAAGAAGTACTAAAGGGAAGGGTTCTCTAGATGTACAGAAGTAGATGTGTGTATGTAGATATTTAGAACACAGACCTAGGGTATATAATATTCCATTTTGCCCAACACTATTCTCAAATGGGATACATCTAGAATTTAGCACTAGACAATTCTATCGTGTGTGGGATGGCTGTTCACATCTCAAGTCATGGAAAGTGACAGAGAGGTTTTGCAATGAACATGAACATATCCAGTCTTGAGAACCAAGAGAAGAACAACTGCAACCATGAAGCTCAACTAGAAAACTGCAAAAGCAAGACACATTCACTAGAAATGCAACATGAACTTCCTAAAGAAATATGTTCTATCAAAATAAATTTCTCACGACCCCTTAAAAAAAAAAAAGTACTAAATTACTCAGAGTAATGCCTCTCTCACACCTTGATGTAAGAATAATACTCATTTGACTACATGCTTCCTCTCCCTTGACAACTAGTTACACATAATGCACTAAAACACAAAGTTATCACCCAGGTAAAGAAAAAATACCTTCAATATTACAGTTCAAAAAGTCTACTGAATATACAAATTCTGGATCCAGAGTAGAAACACAAACACAGTACATGGGAAGCCTCAAGTTAACTAAAGGAGACTCCACCTGTGGTGCCAGCACCCTGGGTTGTAGTCCCGGTTGGGGCGCTGGGTACTAGTCCCGGTTGCTCCTCTTCCAGTCCAGTTCTCTGCTGTGGCCCAGGAGGGCAGTGGAGGATGGCCCAAGTGCTTGGGCCCCTGCACCCGCTTGGGAAACTGGAAGGAAGCACCTGGCTCCTGGCCTCGGATTGGCGCAGAGCCAGCCATAGCGGCCATTAGGGGAATGAACCAATGGAAGGAAGACCTTTCTCTCTCTCTCACTATCCATAACTCTGTCTCTCTCTCTCTCTCACTGTCTAACTCTGCTTATCCAAAAAAAAAAAAAGAGAGAGAGAGAAAGAGAGAGCGCGCGCGCGCACCATGCAATCATTTCATTTCATAATCTCCACTTTCTGTCAACTCTCTGAGGATCTCACATAAATGAAAATTGCTTTCTGATACAGCTGATGATCAGTGGGGAAAGGAATCAGACTTCAGTTATCAGTCCCTTTTTAAGGAATAGGTTATAAAACACTGCAGAGGTAAAACAAATTTCCCTACACAGGATACTTGAAAAATTAATTCCAGGTGAATTTAAGATATACATACTAATTTTTACATTTGTTCCTTGGAAGCTTATATTTGTATATGTGTCATCATAAAGCATTTAAATAAAAAGACTGCTTTCAAGTGAAAAAAAAAAGATATACATATTAAAATCAAAACAGAGTCCAGCGCCGCGATTCACTAGGCTAATTCTGTCTGCGGCACCGGCACCCCGGGTTCTAGTCCCGGTTGGGGCGCCGGATTCTGTCCCAGTTGCTCCTCTTCCAGTCCAGCTCTCTGCTGTGGCCCAGGAGTGCAGTGGAGGATAGCCCAAGTCCTTGGGCCCTGCACCCGCATGGAAGACCAGGAGGAAGCACCTGGCTCCTGGCTTCGGATCAGCGCGGTGCGCTGGCCACAACGCACCAGCCATAGCAGCCACTTCAGGGGTGAACCAACGGAAAAAGGAAGATCTTTCTCTCTGTCTCTCTCTCACTGTCTAACTCTGCCTGTCCAAAAAAAAAAAAATCAAAACAGAGAAACTTGTAGCATCTAATTTAGGAGAATTTCTTCATGACCTCAAGAAAAGAAACCAAAAAGACCAGCTACTAGGAAATTTTTTTTTGGAAGAATTTATTTGAGAGGTAGAGGTTCAGACCCCTGCACCCACATGGGAGACCAGGAAGAAGCTCCTGGCTGCTGGCTTCAGATCGGCACAGCTCTAGCCACTGCAGTTAACTGGGGAGTGAACCAGCGGATGGAGGACCTCTCTCTGCCTCTCCTTCTCTCTCTGTGTAACTCTTTCAAATAAATAAATTAAAAAAAAAAAAAAATAGATAGAAGATCTACCTGCCTTCTTTCTTTTTCTCTCTGCCTTTCAAATAAAATCAGTAAATAAAAATCAAATTATAGAGAGTCAGGGACCAGCGCTGTGGTGTAGTGGGTAAAGCCACCATCTGCAGTGCCAGCATCCCATATGGACGCCAGTTCGAGTCCCGGCTGCTCCACTTCTGATCCAGCTCTCCTGCTGTGGCCTGGGAAAGCAGTGGAAGACGACCATGTCCTTGGGTCCCTGCGCCTGGGTGGGTCTGGATTGGCGCAGCTCAGGCTACTGCGGCCAACTGGAGAGTGAACCAGTGGATGGAAGACCTCTCTCTCTTTTTCTCAGCACCTCTCCTTCTCTCTGTGTAATTCTGATTTTCAAATAAATAAACCTTTAAAAAAAAAGTTGATGGATAATGCATGCTATAAAAAATTATAGAAAGTTTAAAACAATTTAATAACTCTTTTTAATAAAAATGTAGGGGGCCATGCCGCGGTGTAGTGGGTAAAGCTGCCATCAGCAGTGCCAGAATCCCATGTGGGCGCCAGTTCAAGACCTGGCTCCACTTCCCATCGAGCTCTCTGCTATGGCTGGGGAAAGCAGTAGAAGATGACCCAAATTCCTGGGTCCCTGCACCCATGTGGGAGACCCAGGAGAAGCTTCTAGCTCCTGGCATCGGACTGGCTCAGCTCTGGCTGATGAAGCCATTTGGGAAGTGAACCGGCAGATTGAAGATCTCTCTCTCTCTCTGCCTCTCTGTAATTCTGCCTTTCAAGTAAATGAATAAATCTTTAAAAAACAAAATAGAAATGAATAGTAAAACAAGCATATGTATAGCAAACAGGCACCTGAGCTTCCTAAGTGACAGCATCAACCGTGTTCAGCTCCATTCCCCATACTCCACTCTCAACTCTCTCAAACCTTACTCTGACCTAGCTTTGAATTGTCCTCAAACATCACTCCAGACACTCTTTAACAAAAATAACAAAGGACAGCTATTAGACAATGTACAATAATCTTTTCTAAAAAAATCATTCACCTTCCATGGCTTTTCTGGAATTGGTGGATCCTCAATTTCAGCATCAACATCATTACTATGCACCCAAGTATCATAGCTACGAGGGAAATGCAAAAAGGGAAAGACAAATTAGAATCTAAGTTCATTCATTAGAAAGAACTATATCAAACACTAACAATACATTTTATAAGTAATGTTATAGAAAGGTATCAGACTGTCTTTAAATCCCCAAAAATAAAACTCTTCTGTGGAGGCCAACTGTAATTTTTAATGCTAAACATAAATGTCAAGCCTCAGTACACACAAATTTCAGTAGTCAATTCTGCTCTCTTCAAAGTAGATTCCTCCCTTGGCCTCCAGGATAAAAGCAATCACCTGGTACTGTGTCTTGTAACCAGCCTCTCTTTAGGCTCTATTGCCAATTTCTAATCTTTAATCAAAACCTCTTCAACATTTGAAAGCTCCCCGGACTAAGTTTCTGGTACAATCCTTTTCTCTGAGCTATCTCCCTTAGTTATATGACTTCAAATACATACTGATGACTTGAAATCTTGTATCTGCTTTCTTCTCTGAATTCTAAATTCATGAATTCACATCTCAGAATGTCCAGCAGGATTCTAAACCCAACACTCAAAGCTCAATTTGTAATGCTACCCTAGGCCAGCGATGTACAATTTCAGTAAATGACGACTCCAGCTTTCAAGTAGTTTGGATCAAAAAACATATCCTAAATGAAATCAGCAGCAAATGTTATAGTTCTACCATCAAAGTATTGCCCACAATCTCCTTCTTACCCCTCCACTATGCTCAGTGGTTTCCTTACTTCTGCCACTGGCCACCCAACAGTCAATTTTTCACATAAAAACCAGAATGATTTTATTTTTTAAGTCAATCAGTCTATATTACTCTACTGCTCAAAATTTCCCAACAGCTTCTACCTAATAAGAAAGTCTCAATAAAGTCAGAAAAATGACAACACAAATGAACAATATTATCACACTTCAGAAAATAAAATTACAAATGTTTCTGACTTCCTTTGATTAAAAAAATGATTATTTCAGATCTCATGGCACATCAGTATTACCTGTCTGGGTAAAATCCCCAATGTACTAACACCTGCTTGTCTTTTCTCATCACGGGTCTCAACCACTCCTCTGAAAGGGTAAAAAACAAAAAGCAAACAAACAAAAAAACTTTAGTAAAACTGACAAAATGACTATGATTTAACTGTAATTGTTACTGAGAGACTGAATTATAATTATGTTCCTTTTTAGGGAGAAATAAATAAAGTTACCAGGTTCCCAAATGCCAGATCACTGAAAAATGCAGAAAAGAAGCAGGTAAGTTAACTGGCCGTGTGATAAACAAATGCCAAACAGGAAAGTAACAGAATCTAAGAAAACACAATGAGAATACCAAAGATCATCAGAAGTCATCTGGAAACAATTTTTAAGGATTTATTTATTTAGTTGAAATAAGTTACACAGGCAGACAAAGACAGAGAAAAATGGAAAAAGAGATTTTCATCTGCTGGTTCACTCCCCAAATAGCTGCAATTGCCAGGACTGGGCCAGGCCAAAGCGAGGAGCCTGAAACTACATTAAGGTCTCCTACATGGGTACAATGGGTCAAGCACTCGCAGGTTATCAGTTTAACCCACTGCGCCACAATGCCAGCTAACTGGAAACAGTTTTTTAGACACACAATTTCCATGTGTAAAAATCAGTCCAGGGGCCAGCATTGTGGCACAGCAGATTAAGCCATCACTTGCAATAATGGCATCCCACTGCAGTGCCAGTTTGCATTCTTTCTATTCTGCTTCCAGCTGATGTACGCCATGAAAGGCAGCAGTATTAGCTCAAGTAACTGAGTCCAATACCCATGAGAGACCTGGATGGAGTTTCTGGCAACCAACACAGGCCTGTGGATAAAAGATTTCTGTCACTTGCTTTTCAAATAAATAAATAAAATCTTTTAAAACAATAAAATTAGTCCAAAATCAAAATGAAGATAATACTCAACACTGAAGAGATAAATAATCCACTTAAAAAATGGGCATAGGATCTGGAGTTCCAGTAGCTAAAGAACACAAGAACAGAAGAACACAAGAACAGAACACAAGAACATTTACAGTAAGGGAATTCACAATTAAAACCATTGTCCCATTCTCCAGTGGCTGCCAAGATGTTCATTTCTTCCAGGACAGCGTATGCCATGTTGGAGTGAGGTACTCACTTCATCCAGCCACTAGGATCAAGCCCACCTGTACCAGCCTCCCCAGCTCTCCTGTATCTACTACACCCTGGACCTACATGACAACTAGGAGACCTTCACAGAGAGTAAGATCAATGCCTTTGTTAAAGCAGCTGGTGTAAATGTTGATCCTTTTTGGCCTGGCTTGTTTGGAAAGGCTTTGGCCACTATTAACACTGGAAGCTCCAGCTTGCAAGGCAGGGGCTGGCCAATCTGTTCCAGCAGGAGGTCCTGCCACTCCACAGCTTCCCCAGCTGAGAAGTAGAAGCAAAGTGGAAGAATCTGATGGAGGAGTCTGAAGATGACGTGGACTTTGATCTTTTTTACTAAGCCTCTTTAGTTAATTTGTTCAATAAAAAGCTTAACTCTGTAGTTGTTGATCTTGCCCACAAAGAGATATGGCCTGACACCCTCTAGGATGGTTTATATAAAAATATAGCTGATAACAAGTGTGGACAAAGAAGCAGCGAAACTGGAATATTTGTACAATGCTAAAGGGAATGCAAACTATGGCAATTTGGAACAGTCTGGCAATTCTTCAAAACTTCAGCGTTACCATATGAGTCAGCAATTAATTCCATGTCCAGCTTTTACACATGAGAACCGCAACATTAAATGCCATTATTTTTTCCATTTTTAAATTTACTTGAGAAGCAAACAGATGAGGAGAGAAAGGGAACTCTCACCTGCTGATTCATGTTTCAAATGCCTACAATGGCCTGACCCAAATCCAGGAGCCAGGAATGCAATCCAGGTCTCCCATGTGAGTGGTAAGAACCCAATTACTTGAGCCTTAACCGCTGCCTCCCAGGTCTGCATTTGCAAGAAGCCAAAGTCAGGAGCTGGAGCCAGTACTAGAACCCAGGAACTCTGAGCATAGGTGACTTAAAGACTAGGCCAAACACCCACTCTTAGGAAGAGTTTTTTTCTCCCTTATTTGTAGCAAAGACTTGAATAACCTTATGCGTGTTTCCTAAAAACAATTTATGACACTGCTGAGCAAGTACCTCATGGTTCTATATTTTCTACTTCATTAATTTCTACTTTTCTGTTGGTTAAATACTTGATTCATGTCCTTTTTTTATTACGATTGTTTGAAAAGCAGAGTGACAGGAGAAGACACAGAGATCTTTCATCTGATGGTTCACTCCTCGACTAGCCACAAGGGTTATAAGGCTGAGCCAGGCCAAAGCCAGAAGCCTGAATTCCATTTGGATTTCCAACATGAGTGGCAAGGGTCCAAGTACTATAACCATGAGCTGCTTTCCTAGATGCATTAGCAGGAAGCTGGATCTGAAGCAGAGTAGCCAGGACTCAAAATGGGATGCAGGTCTCACAAGTGGTGGCAAAACTAGCTCTACCACAATGTTCGTGCTCTTCCATTATTTTGTTTTTAATTTTGTTAATTTCTTAATAAGTATTTCCAATTTTTCTTTTTTCCTATCATTTAAAGATGGCTATTTGGGAAGTGAAACTAGCAGACAGGAGGTCTCTCTTGGTAAATGCCTTTCAAAGAAATAAATAAAATCTTTAAAAAAAAGTTTGTAGGGATATGTTGAGCTAATAGAAAACCTGACTGTTGGGGCCGGCACTGTGCCTCAGTAGGTTAATCCTCTGCCTGCAGTGCCAGCATCTGATATGGTAAACGATTCTAGTCCCAGCTGCTCCTCTTCTCAGCCAGCTTTCTGCTATGGCCTGGGACAGCAGTAGATGGCTCAAGTGCTTGGGCCCCTGCACCCACATGGGAGACCCTGGCTTCAGATTGGCACAGCTCCGGCCATTGAGGCCATTTGGGGAGTGAACCAGGGGAAGGAAGACCTGTCTCTCATTGTCTGTAACTCTACCTCTCAAATAAATAAATAAAATCTTAAAAAAATAAAAAAAGAAAACCTGTTTCATATTAAGAGAAAATCTATTTCTCACCCTAAATTGCTTTATATTGTGTTCTCCAACTCAGTCCTTCAGAAGAATGGTTAGCACAAATAATTTTCTATAGGTCTGATGAATTCTGGTCGCTGACAAAAATCAACTTTAAGAAAAGGAGTTAAATACTAGAAACCAAAATACCATATATTGGCGCAACTGCTGTGGCATAGCAGGTAAAACCATCGCCTGCAATGCCAGCATCCCATATGGCCGCCAATTCGAGTCCCAGCTGCTCCACTTCCAATCCAGCTCTCTGTCATGGCCTGGAAAAGCAGTACAAGATGGCCCAAATCCATGGGCTCCTGTAACAGCAAGGGAGTCCCAGAAGAAGCTCCTGGTTCCTGGCTTCAGATCACCCCAGCTTCGGCAACTGCAGCTATCTGGGGAATAAACCAGCAGATGCAAGATCTCTCTCTCTCTGCCTCTACCTTTCTGTTACTCTGTCTGTCAAATAAATAAATAAATCTTAAAAAATAAAAATAAAAATTAGAGCAGGGCTGGTGCTGTGGCATAGCAGGTAAAGTGGCAAACTGCAGTGACGGCATTCCATGTGGGTGCTGGTTCAAGTCCCAGATGCTCCACTTCCTATCAAGCTCTCTGCTGTGGCCTGGGAAAGCAGTAGAAGATGGCCTAAGTCCCTGGGGCCCTGCACCTGCAAGAGGCTCCTGGCTCCAGATTGATGCAGCTCCGGCCGCTGTGGTCAATTAGGGAGTGAACCAGTGGATGGAAGACCTCTCTCTCTCTCTCTCTGCCTCTTCTTCTCTGTGTAACTCTGACTTTCAAGTAAAATAAATAAATCTCTAAAAAAAAATCATAGCATGCTATAAAATTTATTAAAAAACATATTTACCAAATACTATATTGCTGTAGGACCCTGTCTGGACAGCCAGTAAGCCAACTTCTTCACTAGATAGCGTTCTATCTTACAATGTCTGTTTAATTTTCAGAACATAAGACATAAGACATACTTAATAACCATACAATTAATGACTGTCAAAGAAATTTAAGTCTAGTGATTAGTAAGTTGAACAGTACAATATTAGTTTGCTTAGCAAAATAAAAGAGAGCAAGCATTTTGGTTTTTTTTTTGACAGGCAAAGTGGACAGTGAGAGAGAGAGACAGAGAGAAAGGTCTTCCTTTTGCCGTTGGTTCACCCTCCAATGGCCGCCGCAGCTGGAGCGCAGCAGCCGGCGCACCGCGCTGATCCGATGGCAGGAGCCAGGTACTTATCCTGGTCTCCCATGGGGTGCAGGGCCCAAACACTTGGGCCATCCTCCACTGCACTCCCTGGCCACAGCAGAGAACTGTACTGGAAGAGAGGCAACCGGGACAGAATCCGGCGCCCTGACCGGGACTAGAACCCGGTGTGCCGGTGCCGCCGGCCCAAGCATATTTCTTAATTAAATAGAAAACTATGTATTTCAATAATCTCCTGGGGCAGGTACTATAGCACAGAAGGTTAAACCATTGTATGGGAAGCACACAATGTTTTGAGTCCCAGGTACTCTGCTTCTAATTCAGCTTCCTGCTAATGTGCCAGGGAAGGCAGTGGATGATGTACTTGGGTGCCTGGCATCCACATGACAGACCAGATGGAACAGTGGGCTCTAGGCATCAGCCTGGAGCAACCCCAGCCAATACGGACTGTTGTAGAGTCAACCAGCTTTAAATGGAAGATCTTTCTTTGTCTTTTTCTATGTCACTCTGTCTTTGAAATAAACAAATAAATAAATCTCTTTTGAAGATTTTAAATCTTTTTTAAAGATTTATTCATTTAAAAGAGTCACAGAGAGAGAGAGACAGGCAGACAAACAGACATCATCTATCTGCTGGTTCTCTCCCCAACTGGACACAACGACCAAGGCAGGGCCAGCATGAAGCCAGGAGCCAGGAACTTCTTCTAGTTACCCCACATGCGTGCAGAGGCCCAAGAACTCAGGCCATCTTCCGCTGCTTTCCCAGGTGCATCAGCAGGGAGCTGGATTGGAAGTGGAGCAGCCAGGACTAAAAAAGACACTCACATGGGAAGCCAGGGCTGCAGGCAGCAGCTTAACATGTTATACCATAGTGCCAGTCCCAAGATAAATCTTAAAAATGAGCAAATAATCTGTAGGACTTAGTATTCAAAGCTCTTTTATACAATGCTTATTTTGTTTAAAAGTCTATTGGTGGTGCCAGCGCTGCAGCTCACTAGGCTAATCCTCCGCCTCCAGCGCCAGCACCCCGGGTTCGAGTCCCAGTTAGGGGACTGGTTACGTCCCGGTTGCTCCTCTTCCAGTCCAGCTCTCTGCTGTGGCCCAGCAGGGGGGAGGGCGCGCAGTGGAGGATGGCCCAAGTGCTTGGGTCCTGGACCCGCATGGGAGACCAGGAAGAGGCACCTGGCCCCTGGCTTTGGATCGGTGCAGTGCACCAGCCGGAGCAGCCATCTCGGGGGTGAACCAATGAAGGGAAGACCTTTCTCTCTGTCTCTCTCTCTCACTGTCTAATTGCCTGTTAGAAAAAGTCTATTGGTGGGACCAGCGCTGTGGCGTAGCAGGTTAAGACACTGCCTGCAGTGCCAGCATCCCATATGAGTACCAGTTCAAGTCCTGGCTGCTCCACTTCCAATCCAGCTCTCTGCTATGGCCTGGGAAAGCAGAAGTCCTTGGGTCCCTGCACCCACTTCAGATCAGCACAGCTCTGGCCATTACAGCCATCTGAGGAGTGAACCAGCAGATGAAAGACCTCTCTCTCTCTCTCTCTCTCTGCCTCTCTGTAACTCTGCCTTTCAAATAAATAAATCTTTAAAAAAATTAAAAGTCTACTGGTTAGATATAAAATCCATGAGACATGAGTATATCAGTTCACAACCAAAAAACTTACCATCCTCTTGTGAGGAGGGATATGGATAAATATGGTGGGAAGCTTTTGACTTCTCATCAGTAAATGTCCCCTGGAAAACAAATGAACAAAAAATCTTAAGTAGAAAATAGATGGCAAACACATATGAAATGCTAGATGTAAATTCCTGAAGATTTTGAGAGCACGGTTTCACTTTTATTTAAGACTACAGGGGTGAGTGAGGGTCCGGCACGATGGCTCACATGATTAATCCTCCGCCTGCAGCGCCAGCATCCCATATGGACGCAGGGTTCTAGTCCCAGTTGCTCCTCTTCCAGTCCAGCTCTCTGCTGTGGCCTGGGAGGGCAGTGGAGGATGGCCCAAGTGCTTGGGTCCCTTTCCCCGCATAGGAGACCCCCGGGGGGGGGGGGGGGGCAGGGGAGGCACCTTGCTTCTGGCTTCGGATGGGTGCAGCACCGGCCGTTGAGGCCATTTTTGGGGTGAACCAACGGAAGGAAGACCTTTCTCTCTGTCTCTGTCTCTAACTCTACCTGTCAAAAAAAAAAAAAAAAAAAAAGACTACAGGGGTGGGCGCTGTGGCACAGAGGATAAGCTTCCACGTGGAATGCAGGCACCCCATATGGTTGCAGGTTCATGTCCCGGCTGCTCTTCTTCTGAGCCAGCTCTCTGTTTATGGCCTGGGAAAGTAGCAGAAGAGGGCCCAAGTAAATGGTTCCCTGCACTGGCATGGGAGACCTGGAAGTGGCTCCTGATCAGCCCAGCTCTGCCGCTGTGGCCATTTGGGTAGAAAATCAGTGGATGGAAGACCTTTCCATCTGTACCTCCCTCTCTCTATAACTCTGCCTCTCAAAAAAAAGACTATTACTTTAGTCAAGAAAAGGAAGACTAACAACAAAACCATCTACAGAGTATATACTGCTGTACAGAAAAGTAACAAGAGTGACTCAGCTAATTCTCGAAGAATTGGAGTACCCTTATAATTAATTTTTAAAACTACTCCAAAATAATTACAAATTTTCACAATACTTTCAGTGAACCAACAACACAGGTGTGCAGGCTTGAAACATTTAAACTTAGAAGCCATACAGAACAAAATGTGCACATTCCATAAATCATAAAATGACTTGAAGGCTTAAAAATCAAGTCTAAGGGGGCTGCTGTGCTGAGGCTCAACAGGTTGAGCCACCACCTACAGCTCCGGCATCCCACATGGGTGTCAGTTTGAGTTTCAGCTGCTTCACTTCCTTTTTTTAAGATTTATTTTATTGGGGTCAGTGCCATGGCGCAGGTTAATCCTCCGCCTGTAGCACTGGCATCTTATATTGGCACCAGGCTCTCGTCCCAGCTGCTCCTCTTTCAGTCCAGCTCTCTGCTACGGCCTGAGAAAGCAGTAGAAGATGGCCGAAGTCCTTGGGCTCCTGCACCCACGTGGGAGACCCATAAGAAGCTCCTGGCTTTGGATCAGCGCAGATCCAGCTCTTGCAGCCATCTGGAGAGTGCACCAACAGAAGGAAGATCTTTCTCTCTGTCTCTCCCTCTCACTGTCTGTAACTCTACCTCTCAAATAAATAAAATCCTTTTAAAAAATGTATTTTATTTATTTGAAAGAGTTATAGAGAGAGATAGAGTCCAGCCCCAAGCTGCTTCACTTCCAATCCAGCTACCTGCTGGTACACCTGAGAAGGCAGCAGAACAAGCCCAGAATTCTTGGGACCCTGCATCCATGTCACAGACTTCGATGAAGCTCCTGGCTCCAGCTTGGCCTAGCACTGGCCATCAAAGCCATTTAGGGAGTGAGCCAGAAGATGGAAGATTCTCTCTCTGTAGCTTTGCCTTTCAAATAAATACACATAAAATCTTTAAAAAAAAAAAAAAAAAAAAAGAGAGAGATGTAAGTAGCACCTTAATTCTCTGAATTTGGCCTTTGACAAAGAATATTTCCAAATTATTACAGTCAGAAAAAAACAGTAATTGTGTTTCACCTGGAAGGACTGCTAAAGTTCAGAAAGCTTAAACTATTCATAAATGAATTGGCTGCTTCATTAGGGAACGAATTCTCTGTCACTATAATGGTTCAGTACAGATAAGGCTGAAAAGGCAGTGTCAATATCCAGTGAGTTTGAGGAAGCAAACAGTAACACACTGCTGCAAAACTTGGCCAAAGGGGTCAGTCAGAAGCCTGGGTTTGAAACCTCAGAGTTTGGGGCCGGAGCTGTGGTGCAGCTGGCCTAAAGCGCCAGCATCCAATATGGGCACTGGCTTGAGACCCAGCTGCTCCTCTTCTGATCCAGCTATCTGCTGTAGCCTGGGAAAGCAGAAGAAGATGGCCCAAGTCCTTGGGCCCCTGCACCCGCATGGGAGACCCAGAAGAAACTCTTGGCTCCTGGCTTCAGATTGGCACTGCTCCAGCCGTTGTGGCCAATTGAGGAGTGAACCATCAGATGGAAAACCTCTCTCTCTCTCTCTGCCTCTCCTATCTCTATGTAACTCTTTCAAATAAACAAATAAATCTTAAAAAATAAATAAATAAATAAAAATCAACCTCTTTAAAAAAAAGAAACCTCAGAGCTGTCATTTACTACTTGGATGATATTGGAACAGTGTTTTTTGCCTTACTTTCTTCAGAGACATGGAATAATAACAGTACAGACATCTATTAAGACCCAGTTAATACATACAATGAGCTAATAATAGTGACAAGTAAAATCATTTTGAGTTTTTAATGCATTTAAAATGCTTGGGAATGGGTATCTGGCCTAGCAGTTGGTATGCCAATACTCTACACAGCTGTGTCTGTGTTCAACTCCTGCACATAATCCCATATTCCTGCTGATGTGCATCCTGGGAGGCAGAAGTACAGACTGAAGTACTGGGGTGCCTGTCATTCACAGAGGAGAAAAGGTTTAGGGTTATGGAAAATTCCCAACAACTGGTTTAGGCTAGCTAAACTCTGGCATTTGGGGAGTCAAACGGTGGATGGGAGCTCTCTCTCTTTCAAATAAATGAAACTGAAATTGGATGGGTAAAGGCCCAGTCATCAGTATTTAGTAATGGTATTATTATTATTAGCTCTTAAGGCCTCTTCCTTAGCAATCTATGAAAATAGTCCAACTTGGCCAGTGCCGCGGCTCACTAGGCTAATCCTCCACCTGCGGCGCCAGCACTCTGGGTTCTAGTCCCGGTTGCTCCTCTTCCAAACCAGCTCTCTCTGCTGTGACCCAGGAAGGCAGTGGAGGATTGGGCCCTGCACCCACATGGGAGACCAGGAGGAAGCATCTGGCTCCTGGCTTCGGATCAGCGCAACGTGCCGGCCGTGGTGGCCATTTGGGGGGTGAACCAATGGAAGAAAGACCTTTCTCTGTCTCTCTCTCTCACTGTATAAGTCTGCCTGTCAAAAAAACAAAAACAAAAAACAAACAAACAAAAAAAAAACAAACTTAACATCCTTCTGCAGGCTATCACTAGAAAACAATCATAGGCTTCATTTCTTAGGAAATATGAAAATTATAAATATTCAACATAAACTGTAGGAAAACAAACTCTTCACCACATGATTTAGTAGCAGGAATAGTAGATAATTTCAGCTGCAAGGCAAGGACCAGCAAATTAATCTATTCGATTAATATATAAGCTACACTAATAACATACATTTCAAAAGAGAAAAAGAAGGTTAGGTGATCTGTACTAAGTCATAATTATTAATGAAAAGAAGGAACAATTCTCAGACTGCCTAATATGACAACACAATTATATTACTATTCTCTTTGGCAGGGATGTCATGTAAGAATAGAAGAGAAAGACTGTACTAAATCTGTAATTTAAGCAGTATTAGAAATGTTCACTTTCACAAAGTTTAAGATATTTCACTAAGTGCTAAAACATTATTTAACTGGCCATCTCTTCCATCAAGTACAGGTATTTTATAAGGCTTCCTGACCAACCCCAATCGGTATAACTCTGTTACACAAGTGTTTCACAGAATTTTCTTCTACTTGAGCTTCCACAGCTAATTCAACAAATTACAAGTTTGGTCACAGTTTGACCATATGTAACCAATCCTAAATGCAGTGAATACCCAGAAGTCTAAATCTCTATTTAAGTGAAGGACAAAAAAGAATAAGATGTTGAAATATAATATCTGTACAATGTGAATCAACACAAAATAAAGTTATGGGAAAAGCAGAATTTTTTTTAGTTTTTTAAAACTACATTTATAAACAGAATACATAAATGTGGGTGGGGAGGGGGCACATTAAGGTAACATTTGATCTCCTACCAATAACTATTTAGTAACTCCCTAAGTCTATGAGCTCTGTAATGCAGAATATACTGGGCTCTCTTTATTTCTAGGTGAGTACATTTACAGTAAGATTTATGACTAGAAACCAATAACCTTATCATATGTCACTCTGGGTTAAAAACAGAGTGAAGAGAAAAAAACCTTTTGCTGTTAAGAACTCTAAGAGGGGCCAACACTATGGCGTACTAGTTTAAGTGTCTGCCTGGGGCACTGGCATCCATATGGGTGCTGGTTCCTGACCCAGCTGTTCCTCTTGTGATCCAGCTCTCTGCTAATAGCCTGGGAAAGCAGCAGAAGATTACCTGACTGCTTGGGCCCCTGCACCCACATGGGCGACTCAGAAGAAGCTTCTAGCCCCAGCCACTGTAGCCATCTGGGGAACGAACAAGCGGATGGAAAATATCTCTCTCTCTCTCTAGTTCTGACTTTACCCAAAAAACAAAACAAACAAACAAAAAAACAAAAAACAAAACAAAACAAAACAAACAAAAACACCCCTCCACACACAGAGACGCAACATTTTTCTAATGAAAATATATATTACAATCCAAAGACATTATAACTGACACTGACTAAAGGTTTACTACTACCCAAGACTTATGAAGTGACCAAGTTTATTACCTGATGCCGTTTGATGATATCTTTCAACTTGTTAGCCAACTTCAGGTCAATGTCTGGAATGAGGTAGATGTTGGGTCTGGTCAGACAATTGTTCTGAAGAAGAAATAAGACTTTGAAATTTGTGAAATTCATATTATTTATACATTACCCTAATGACAAAAGTAAGTGCTCCAACTCATAGTTTTTAAACTGGTAACATGTAAAAAAATCTAAGTGGACAGCCCCTGGCACTGGCCCCTCCATTTCTTTCTCTCTCTTTTTTTTTTTTTTAATTTATTTGAAAGGTAGAATTAAACAGAATGAGGGAGAAGGAGAAAAAGCTCTTCCATCCACTGGTTCACTCCCCCAAACAGCTGCTACGGCTAGAGCTGGGCAGATCTGAAGCCAAGAGTCAGCTACTTCTTCCAGGTCTCCCATGTGGGTGTGGAAGGCCAAGCACTCAGGTCATCATCTATTGCTTTCCCAGGCCATAGCAGAGAACTGGATTGGAAGAAAAGCAGCCAGGATGAGAACCAGCATATCCACATGGGATGCTGGCACTGCAGGCGGAAGCTTAGCCTACAGTGCCAAAGCGCTGACCCCTCCATTTCTTAAAAATAGCAATGATTTGTCATTATGGTGCAGCAAGTTAAGCTGCTGCCTGCAATGCTGTACCCAATGTGGGCTCTGGTTCAAGTCCCAGCTGTTCCACTTACATTCCACATCCCTGTTTATGTACTTGGGAAAGCAGAGGAGGGAGGATGGCCCAAGTATTTGGGCCCCTGACGCCCACATGGGAGAAGTGAATGGAGTTAGGCTCCTATCTTTAGCCTGGCCCAGCCCTGGCCACTGAAAGCATTTAGGGAGTGAGCCAGCAGATGTAAGATTTCTGTCGCTCTCTCTCTCTCTCAAACTCTGTATTTCAAATAAATAATCTTTTTAAAAATAGCCATAATAGGCTGGTGCCATGGCTCACTTGGCTAATCCTCCGCTTGTGGCGCCAGCACCCCGGGTTCTAGTCCTGGTTGGGGCGCTGAGTACTAGTCCCGGTTGCTTCTCTTCCAATCCAACTCTCTTCTGTGGCCCGGGAGGGCAGTGGAGGATGGCCCAAGTGCTTGGCCTTGCACCCGTATGGGAGACCGGGAGGAAGCACCAGGCTCCTGGCTTCAGATCAGCGCAGCGCTGGCTGTGGTGGCCATTAAGGAAGTGAACCAATGGAAGGAAGACTTTTCTCTCTCATTGTCTAACTCTGCTTGACAGAAAAAAAAAAAAAAAGCCATAAAAAGCCATAATAAAACACATATATTAACTCCAAAGCTATGACCAAAACTCTACCAACAAAACACATCATTTTTCTTCCCTAGTGAAAAGTCCATGGATCAAATGACTTTCACACATTAAATCATTGATAATATCTAGAAGTTTTTCCAAGCTATCTTTCTGCAGAATGGGGATGGTTAATTCAGTGATCGCTACAAATATACAATCAATAAAAATATCAGCAAACACAAAGACAGAAATTAAACATTCTCTCTTCCAGGTTACAATGTAATTAGGGAAGCAAAATCCACATTTACTATACCACCACAGAGCAAATCCAAAGACAATGATTTTATAATAAAGTGGCCAGGATGAAAGTGGTCATATCAAGTGAAATGATGGCAATTCAAATAAATAAGTTTAATTTAAAATTTTTTACAGGCAAAATAAACTTCTCTTTTAATTCCTTTTTTTTTTTTTTTTGACAGGCAGAGTGGACAGTGAGAGAGAGAGACAGAGAGAAAAGTCTTCCTTTTTGCCGTTGGTTCACCCTCCAATGGCCGCCGCGGCCGGCACGCTGCGGCCGGTGCACCGCGCTGATCCGATGGCAGGAGCCAGGTGCTTCTCCTGGTTTCCCATGGGGTGCAGGGCCCAAGTACTTGGACCATCCTCCACTGCACTCCCTTGCCACAGCAGAGAGCTGGCCTGGAAGAGGGGCAACCGGGACAGAATCCAGCGCCCTGACTGGGACTAGAACCCGGTGTGCTGGCGCCGCAAGGCGGAGGATTAGCTTAGTGAGCCGTGGCGCCAGCTAAAGTCATCTTAAAATGAACCTGTGTTCCTGTAAAAATAGAACAATAATTTCAGAGCATTTTCCTCTATTTGATCTTTTGGCAATCCAATGAACCCAACTGCAGAACTGAAAGTCTATTGAAGAAAAAAAAAACTGCAATAACCTAACTTTGAGTTACCTGCACCAATGTTTTTTCAATGTTCATAAACATTTCCACATTACGATCCATTCGAGATGGATTCTGTAGGTCAAACCTTCGCCTAAAATAGAAGAAAATCATTAGTAAGTTTGTTTCTTCCCTTAAAAAACACAAGTGAAAACTTGGTTTCAAAATTCAAAACAAACAAGTGAGTCAGAAATATTTGGAAACTGAAACAGCACTACAGAATGTCACAGGGTATTCCCACAGCAATATAGGAATAGAGTGTCGGGCTGGCGTTGTGACGTATAAGGTAAAGCCGCAGCCTGCAACACCAGCAACCCATATGGTTGCCAGTTCATGCATTCGCTGCTCCACATCCAATCCAGCTCCCTGCTAATGGCCTGGAAAAAGCAGCAGAAGATAGCATAAGTGTCTGGGACACTGCCCACCATGTGGGAGACCTGTAAGAAGTTCCTAGATCCTTGCTTGGGATCGGCTCAGCTCCAGCTGTTGTGGCCATTTGGGGAGCGAATGAGCAGATGGAAGATCACTCTAATTCTGACTTTCAAAATAAATGAATTTTTTCAAAAAAAAAAAAAAAAGAAAACACTGGGCCCGGTGCTGTAGCATGGTAGGTTAAGCCTCCACCTATGGCGCCAGCATCCCATATGGGCACCAGTTCCAGTCCTGGTTGCTTCACTTCCAATCCAGCTCCCTGCTAATGGCCTGAGAAAGCAGTAGAAGATGGCCCAAAGGCTTGGGACCCTGTACCATGTGGGAGCAATCAGAAGAAGCTCTTGGCTCCCGGCTTCAGATATGCCCAGTTGCAGCCTCTACAGCCATTTTGGGTGTGAACCAGAGGATGGAAGACCTCTCTGTCTCTCCCTGTCTATCTCTATAACCAGTGTTCGTATGGGATGTCAGTGCCCCAGGCAGTTGCTCAATCCACTATGCCACAGCACCGGCTAAAGGTTATCCAATTTATTTATGCTTAAAAATCACTTGTTCATACTCAACACTGTCTGCGTTCTCCAAGACAAAGAAAAGCATCTTGTGTATTTAAATCTGTTACAGTTCTAAGATACATGATTTAAACAGACAAAATTCTTTCAAATAAAATTTCTAACTGGTGAAAAGAATAGAGATTATCCTCTAATCTGTGGCCCTAAGGCAACAAAGAATATCTCAAACTTTAGTACAAATAAGGGATAATAGCAATGACATTTATGATTTGTGTAAGATAAGACACAAGTGCCCATCTTTCTTCCACAGAAAGTTTAAGAGGTGGGGCTCGCATCCCATATCAGAGAGGCTAGTACAAGTCTTGGCTGCCCGGCTTCTGAGGCAGCACTCCCTGCTAATATGCCTGAGAAGGCAGTGAAAGCGCATAGGTCCTTGCCACCCATGTAGGGGACCTGGATGGAATTCCAGTTTCTTAGATTGAGCCTGGCCCAGACCCAGCTGAAGAGGTCATTTGAGGAATGAACCAGAGGACAGAAGACTATCTCTCTCAAGCTCAACCTTTCTCTCTCTGATTCAAATAAATAAGGGAAGGCAGGTAGGCAGGCAGGCAGGAAGAAAAGAAAATAGTCCAAGGGGCATGCCAAAGGGTCAGGGCTATGGAGATGGTTACATCCACCAAGACTTGGAGGTGCACAGAGTGCTTTAACTGACAAACCACACAAATCAAGAGAATCACCCATTTTCCCTGGCACTATGTAACATGGGAATGTCCAGGTAAAATCTATAAATATTGAGTTACTACCATATATTACCATAAAAGTACTGGAAATTGCAGAGAAAACTAGTTTGCTTTTTTCCCTGAAGATGATTTAATGTAGGAGCTATTATAAAAGCTACAAGGAGTATCTTTTTTAAAGATTTATTTATTGGGGCCAGCTCTGTGGTAAAGCCACTGCCTACAGTGCCAGCATCCTACATGGAGCAGCTGGGACTGGAACCCGCACCCATACAGGATGCCCGCATTGCAGGCGGCAGCTTTACCCACTATACCATAGCACCGGCCCCTCAAATAAATAATTTATATACAAAAAAAACCCAGATTTATTTATTTATTTGAAAGGCAGAGCTACAGAGAAAGAGACAGAGAGCAAGAAAGATCTTCCACGCACTGGTTCACTCCCTACATGGCTGCAACAACCAGAACTGCGCCGATGTGAAGCCAGGAGGAGCCAGGAGTTTCCTCAGGGTCTCCCATGTGGGTGCAGGGGCTCAAGCACTTGGGCCATCTTCCCCTGCTTTCCCAGGTGCATTGGCAGGGAGTTAGACTGGAAGCGGAACAGCTGAGACTCAAGCCCATCATGCCACAGTGCCAGCCACAAAATGGAGTATCTTAAATCACGGGATGGAAAAAGAATATCTGTCCTTGAGAAAAGCAGGTAACATGTAGCATCTGCCATAACTGAATGAATCTTACATCACACATGCCACGATACATAAAGAACAGCAAGACCATAAGTACCAAAATTGGGCAAATTGGGCCTCTAAAGCTACTAAAGGATGATTATTCCTCAGCACTATAATTAATCTCCTACTGTTCATTTCTTTATGCCATCAAACATGACCAGACACAAATACAAAGTGTTTGATAAATATTCTGCCTACTAGAATCTCTCTCTCTCTCTCTCTCTCACTCTCTCTCTCTCTGGAGATATTATAAAAATATCTAGTATTTCTTTGGGAACTGATTGCCCCATGATTCCACAAATGCTGAGCATACTGTTCTTAATAAATACTATGAATGATTAATAAACAGTAGCTGAATGGTGCTTTTAGAAAACGCTCTTTAGAGACCGGCGCCGCGGCTCAATAAGCTAATCCTCCGCCTGCGGCTCCGGCACCCCGGGGTTCTAGGCCCAGTTGGGGCACCGGATTTTGTCCTGGTTGCTCCTCTTCCAGTCCAGCTCTCTGCTGTGGCCTGGGAAGGCAGTGGAGGATGGCCCAAGTACTTGGGCCCCTGCACCCGCATGGGAGACCAGGAGGAAGCACCTAGCTCCTGGCTTCGGATCAGCGCACCGGCCACAGCGGCCATTAGGGGGTGAACCAACGGAAAAGGAAGACCTTTCTGTCTCCCTTCGCCTGTCAAAAAAAAAAAAAAAAAAAAAAAAACGCTCTTTAAAAATTAGGAAAACTGGTGCCGGTGCTGTGGCACAGAGGGTTAACACCCTTGCCTGAAGTGCCGGCATCCCATATGAGCGCTGGTTTGAGACCCGGCTGCTTCATTTCCAATCTAGTTCTCTGCTATGGCCTGGGAAAGCAGTTGAGGATGGCCCAAGTCCTTGGGGCCCCTGCACCCGTGTGGAAGACCCAGAAGAAGCTCCTGGCTCTTGGGTTTGGATCGGCACAGCTCCGGCTGTTGCAGCCAATTGGGGAGTAAACAATCGGATGAAAGACCTCCCCCACCCCACCTCTCCTCTGTGTAATTCAAATAAATAAATAAATTTTTTTAAAAATGAGTTAAACTTACAACACTCTGTAATGATTCTTTAGCTCATTCCATGAACCTGCTCATGTTCTCGACACCACCGTAAGCGCTTTACCTCTGTTTGTAATCTCAGCATCCCTTTTCCTCTACATGAGGTCAGTATTTCTAAACAGCTTCCCAATGTTTCTTCTTCTTCTTTTTTTTTTTTTTTTTGACAGGCAGAGTGGACAGTGAGAGAGAGAGAGAAAGGTCTTCCTTTGCCGTTGGTTCACCCTCCAATGGCTGCTGTGGCCGGCGTGCTGCAGCTGGCGCATCGCACTGATCCGGCAAGAGCCAGATGCTTCTCCTGGTCTCCCATGCGGGTGCAGGGCCCAAGTACTTGGGCCATCCTCCACTGCACTCCCTGGCCACAGCAGAGAGCTGGCCTGGAAGAGGGGCACCCGGGACAGAATCCGGCGCCCCGACCGGGAGTAGAACCCGGGTGCCGGCGCCGCAGGCGGAAGATTAGCCTAGTGAGCCGCGGCACCAGCCCCTAATGTTTCTTTAATGGATTTCTACCTCCTTAAATAAACAAATTTTGGGTCCAGCATTATAGCAGGTTAAGCTGCCTTTGATATGGGATCCCACAAGCGCACCAGTTCTAGACTCAACTGCTTTACTTTTGATCTGGATCCCTGATAATGTACCTGGGAAAAGCAGCAGAGGATGGCCCAAGTGCTTGGGTTCCTACACCCACGTGGAGGACCTGGAAGAAGTTCCAGGAGCCTGGCTTCAGCCAGATCAAGCCAATGTACACATTTGGGGAGTAAACAAGTAGATCAAAGAATTCTCCCTTTCCACTTCTTCCTCCCAAATCTGCCTTTCAATTAAACAAATATTTGTAAGATAAAACAAACGTTGACCCTGTTTTCCTAAATTTACTCAGAGCCATCTGTTTATCCTTTTTTTTTTTTTTTTTTTTTTTTTTGACAGGCAGGGTGGACAGTGAGAGAGAGACAGAGAGAGGTCTTCCTTTGCCGTTGGTTCACCCTCCAATGGCCGCTGCGCTGCGGCCGGCGCACCGCACTGATCCGATGGCAGGAGCCAGGTACTTCTCCTGGTCTCCCATGGGATGCAGGGCCCAAGGACTTGGGCCATCCTCCACTGCACTTCCCTGGCCACAGCAGAGAGCTGGCCTGGAAGAGGGGCAACCGGGACAGAATCTGGCGCCCCGACCGGGATTAGAACCCGGTGTGCCGGCGCCACAAGGCGGAGGATTAGCCTAGTGAGCTGCAGCGCCGGCCCTTTTTTTTTTTTTTTTTTTTTTAACAGATAGAGTTAGACAGTGAGAGAGACAGAGAGAAAGGCCTTCCTTCTGTTGGTTCACCCCCAAATGGCCGTAACAGCCAGCGCTGCACTGATCCGAAGCCAGGAGCCAGGAGCTTCTTCCTGGTCTCCCATGCGGGTGCAGGGCCCAAGGACCTGGGCCATCCTCCACTGCCCTCCCGGGCCACAACAGAGAGCTGGACTGGAAGAAGAGGAACCGGGACTAGAACTGGTGCCCATATGGGATGCCAGCGCCGCAGGCGGAGGATTAACCAAGTGAGCCATGGCGCGGGCCCCAATCTGTTTATCTTTACTTAAAATCTTTCTCTCAAATCTAAATTTACCTAAATGTTCAACTCAATTGTAAC